ATATATATATATATATACCCGGCTCGCTAGCGTAGTCTGTTAAACCTGACTTTGCGGCGACCGGGTGACGAACTCTGTGTGGTCCGCAAAACAGTCACATTTCTCCCAGATTTGCGGTATCTATCATGGAATCAAGGCCGAAGGGTTGCGATATCCATAGTACATAGCTTCAAAGGGTTAACAACACATGGTTTCTGGATATTATATATATATATATATATATATATATATATATATATATATATATATATATATATATATATATATATATATATCATACTGAATTACTATCTTTTAACCTAATTTCTCCTTGGAACTTCCATAGTTTACGACATGACCTGTCACCGCTAATATTAGCGACACTGTTCTATCCCCTCCCCTCCCCCCCCCCCCCCCTTTTTTTCTTTTTTTCCCCCTAAATGGCGCAAAAATTGAACATTGATACTTTTCTTACTGATATCTTCCTCACATTTTGCCACCTCTTGACTGCTGCCCTTATATCTTTTTACACCTGCTTCAACTCTGGAGTCCAACAAGGAGGCTACGCGCTGGCACGTTTTATTATCTTTGTTTGAACTTTGTCCCGAGATGTCCATCGACGTCTTGGGTGTCGTCGTACATTTATTCCAATTCCTTTTCAGAAAAAATCAAAAACTCAACCACGTTCATCCTGCTGCTAGCTAGCCGAAGCTGACAACAGTCTCCGGCTATATTTGTGGTCTTGTTTATTTGCGCCACTTTCATGGCTAAAGTTCTGGTATTTGCGCCGTCTCAGGGCTTAATGCTTCTTTCCTCCAAGCCAGACCGCTTATTCCCTATCCTGTAGTCAACTGTGTGTTCTTCTTGCACGTTCATTTCTTATGTTTAGGCGTATATCGTAAGACAGCGAGCTTCTCAACATAACGCCCGTTGGACCACTATTTATTTTTTAAAATTTTGAGTATTTTACTTTGCCAAAAAGTACTGAAAACAGTTTTTAGGTTTGGATAGATTCGAAATGTGAAAATATTCCGCGTGTGACCATAGTGGTCTGATAGTTGTCTTCTTGCAATAAGAACGGGTTAATCATGTCATTTAGATATGTGTGAAATGTTAGGTGAAGCCTCACAATGATTCTATCCGTCATAGTGTGGTTCGATTGTGTCCGTTTGGGTTGGGAGCTAGGCTACGGTGTATGTAAATACCAGACCCCTGGAATACCCAGCTCACGCTTTGATATCCAAATGTTCGGCGATGAGGATTGCTGTGGCTTATGAAGTACTGGACTCAAGTGCTCTCTGTGGGGAGGGGTGGGGATTGTACTTATAGTGCATCCTTAATGGATAGGAAGGGCAGAGGAGGAAGAGGGTGGGAAACCATTCAATCATTCCTCGTCGTTGCCGTCTTGCTGGATTCTAGTCTGGCCACTAGCCGGAATAATACACATCACGTCAAAGGTTTTTACCATCTATACCATGGGAACGGGGGGGGGGGGGGGCGGGTGGAATTGGTGGTTATGTGCACTGGTCCTGTCAGTATCGATCCATTTGTCTTCAATCTTTGCTGTCACTCTTATCCTTTTTTGAGTCCTACCAGTCATGTTTATGTCTGATGCGTGATGTGGAATAAGATGATTATAAGTATGAATCCCCGGGATGTATGGATGTACACCATCAAGTGTAGGCATACATATACTTGAGCATCCATACACTAACACAACATTACATGTTTGCACTAACTTTCACACATATCCATGCGTGCATAATCATTTGGATACACATATATTTGACATTTTCTACATTTGCGTTCTCTTTCGTATCTGTCTATCAATGTAATAATTCACCCACTTACATTCATGTAAACATGTTCATTCACCCGTAGGGGCATATACACTTCCACATTCATTCACATGTCTGCATCTACTTCCGTGTTTCATACTAACTAAAGTGTTGCTCACACAGACTGTGCAACTATTGTGAAGATTGTTTTGTATGTCTTTTAATGACATTAGTGTGTCAATCGATCTTGTCTGTAATATCGTCTGGTCGAATCAAGTATTTAGTTATGTCTAGCTCTTGACTTGTGACCTGTCCGTTATGTTCCTATCACGTTCTGATGGATGATGTGAATGGTGAGTGGTGATTAGTTTCTTCCTTAAGTACGCTCCTCATTACATTTATTCTCACTAATTTATAGGTTCTTATGATTTCACATGTAGTCCTATGCAAACATATGGATCGCCGAAGTGTATGGATGCACACAACCAGGTGTCAGCGTCCGTACATCCAAGTCTCCACATCCCCACTGACCGTGGGTGGTTATGGGTTATATCCTTCCTGTAGTTCTTGACCATAACTTCCCATATATTCGCACATTCATACATCCATATAGTCGTTCATATGTGCCTTTCGCACATGCATATCCCCACTTTCCTATCGATAAGTGAGCCCATACCACTCGCATTATAAACACTTTCTTGTGTATTCATTATACCACTTTCGTTAACACATACTTCCTTATGCATAAGTACGTACCTATCCTCATCTATACACATATCGTGCTTACACGAACGCCCTTACATAAGGGTATCCACTGGCACCGCCCGACCATCCTTCTCTCCTGTCTAGCAGTGTTTGTCAGTCATCTTGGCTGAACTGGTGAGATTTTATTATTGAGAATAGTTCGCCGTCTTGGCTGAGTGTTGTGGGTGCTAGTGAGTGTTTTAATTTCTCGGTCTGTGGTGTGGCCCTCCAGTGTGCCTTTCTCATACATGAATGTGCGTCCAGATAATACTCTCTTTGCTTTTATAGTCTTCACCACCCCCTTTTATTTAATATGCTAGCACTTAGAAAATCCTTTTTTGTGTCAATTGCTACTTCTGTGGACACCTTTGCAAGATCAACAGTAGTGTCAGCATTCCCATGTCTTATTGCAGTCCTAGTTGGCCTTCCATCAGCTTCCATCATTTATATGCACATCACATCTAGATTTATCAGTGCATCATCTAGAGCGCTACTCTGAACATCCACCTTACTCCTTGGCTCCTGCAGCAAAATCTTCGCATATGAGCAGTCTGCTTCTCTCTAAGTTCTCTAGTTCTTTTAGCCAGTCTGAGCTCTCCTTAGTATCAAAGAGAATTCTCTTGAACATACACATACGTACCTCCAATATTTTCCCCTTGTGTTCCATGTGACTCATTACCATCCTTGTTGTAACTATCCAAGTCAGTCGGCCCGTGCTTTATCCCATCCTTTACAAATAATGTCGGACCATGAGACTCCCTTGCAGGCAGGTTAATATTCAATCATTGAATATGGTCTGGGGATTCTAACCGTGTCAGAGACTCAGTTAGAGAAATTGGAAAGCAACATAATGAGGCTGTGCTAACCATTCTAGGACGCACGAGGTATATACCAATTGTGTGTATGAGACATATCCTGGCAACGCCGACCATTGCCGATAGACATAATGTACTGCAAGCTGTGTGTATCTTAGAGTTGCAAGTGATACAGAACATATTCTTTATAGAGAATTTAGACGTTGGGACGGGTGACAGACTAGAGAAGGTCAGACCCTTGTCGGCTCAGACTGAAAAGACAAAAATGTATACAAGATTAAAGAGATTAGCCGAGTAGAGAAATGGATAAAGGTACCGGGTGTGTGCGCGTGTGTATGTGTGGGTGTGGGGTGGGTGGGTGGTGTGTGTGTGTGTGGGGGGGGGGGGGCTGGTGTTGGAGGGAGAAGACAGAACAAAGTGGTAATTACCTTGGGACATGAAAGCAGGAAATGGGCGGCGGGGTGTGCAGAGGCAGAAATTCGATAGCTGATGATTGAGGTTATTTTAAGGCCAGGAGATGTGATTTTATACACTGATGGATCAGTGCCCAGGGACACAAAGATTGGATGGCTCTTTGTTGCAAATGTTTGGGGAAAAGGATGGCTGAAGAGAGCTTGCCATACGACATTACCACAATGAACCAGTTTTACAACTGTCACGTCAAAAATTGTATGTGCCCATCTTCATGCTTTTCGATCCCTGCCTTCTTTCACTATATACAGTGATCTCCGCTGCTGTTCTTTCTAAATCATGTGACACTTGATATGGCCGAAATATTTCAGTTTCAGAGATAAGATGCTGTTCACGAGCAGATGAGCAGCTTGTTACTACAGAAAAGATGCCTGCTCTCAGAATGTATACTCTGATTTCCATGCTGGTGCTTAGCCATAGACTTTTAATGCTGTTTAATCTTTGCATTGTCGGCTCTGTGGCTAAGTCGATGCGAACGCTTCGTAATGCCGGGCCATGCGCCCTGCGTTGGTTTCGACAGTGGTATCAAGAAAGCCGACCGTCCAGTAGCAATGGCAAACTACTGGAGGTAAATTTGCCTAGAAAAACCAAACAACAGCCAGGGGCTGTTTGGGGTTGGTTCTGCGACGTCCTGTAAAGGATACAACTTTAATCTTTACATTGCTGTTGTCACCCTTTTTTAACTTCCGAATAATTATCCTCCTCCCCCTTCTTCTTCTTCTCCTCCTCCTCCCCTTCCTCCTCCTCCTCCTCCTCCTCCTCCTCCTTCTTCTTCTTCTTCTTTTTCTTTTTCTTCTTCTTCCTCATTCTTCCTTCTTTCTCTTTCTTTCTTCTAGTTACATTTAAGATTCCTCATAAGCATTTCAATTCTGTTGCGTCGATTTTAAGTTCCAAACCGAATACTTTAGTGCCTCAAAATATTCACTGGCTGTCATTTGCGGGGATCCTATCAAATACAACTGCATGTCATTGTGATACAGTATATACATATGTTTAAAAAAAAACCTACTTCTAATATTTTTTGTACAGAAATGTTGTCCTTTATCACCAGCTTCTTCCTCTGTCTATTTGTATTTTCCTGCTATTGTTCTTATATAGAATATTTCCATGTTTATACAATGTATGGTATGACAAGCACAAAACTGCTAAAGGTAGCGGAGTAACACATTTAATATTAAAATAAAGTCATAGACCAATGTATTCTTGTCATTAGCATCCACCACAGTGACATTTCGAGGCTATGAATGGATGACTTACCAGTTATACATGCAGAGTGGGGAACGTGTGTTCACAGACTACACCAGAATATCACTAGAGTTCAAGGTAATTATGATCACTAGAGTTCAAGGTAATTATGATCACTAGAGTTCAAGGTAATTATGATCACTAGAGTTCAAGGTAATTATGATCACTAGAGTTCAAGGTAATTATGATCACTAGAGTTCAAGGTAATTATTATCACTAGAGTTCAAGGTACATTATGACAACTAGCAGCATTGTGTATGTTGTTTGTTGTCAAATTTGTGGAAAATGTACATTGGAAAGGGGCAAGGACTAAATAACAAATTAGCACAGTCTGCTTTCACATAAAGATTACATAACATAAATACTTTACCATTTTTGTTACAATATGTCAGCTTAGATAATAATATAACAACACTAATATGCAAACTTGAATTGAGATTTTAGTGTAGTGATTTCTGTCTAAACTCTCAAGTGTTGTTTCCAGCTGCTTTGGACACTAGATACTGAGCTAAAAAAAAAAAGATTTTGTGTGTGTGTGCATCACTTCTGCTCCCCAATATTAACTTAGCACAATGGTGACCCAGAGAGCCAAATGTCAGTATTAAATTCAGTATTGTGTATTGTTTTTTGGATGATAAAATATTAATAACTATTTTTAATATTTAAAAGCAGGTATTATTTTCTTGTGGTACACAGTACCAGCACCCTTTTTAAAGGCATTTTTTCAGCACTTCATTATTAAACAATTTGTGGTACAGCCACCGTTTTTGACACTTACTGTTGGGTACAGGCACCTTTGGTTTGTTTTTGTTTTCAAAGAAAAAAGCTCTGATTAAAAGACATCCAATCAAATACTTTGTTTTTGTAAGATAATAAATTACTCTAGTTTTCTATTTTCTAGTATCTCTCAAGCTACATTTATTTATTTGTTTCAAACTTTGATTGTTTTACTTCCAGACTGATCGTGGTTCTGGAGTATTGTTGTATGCCGTGGGAGGCACACCTTATCACAACCATATTACAGTTTCTATTTACTCTGGTGCAGTTCATGCTTCTGTTTCATTTGAGCAAGATGACCTCACATTCTCAGAGGGAATTGGTTTGGATGACAGTCGGTAAATAGTTCATGTTTTTTTTAATCTGCAGAAATTTTAACAAAGTTATAGCATACTTGCTGCGCTTCATACTGTGAGAAGTACTGAGAAAGACGAGAAAGTCTTACAAAAAAGTCCTTCAGAATTCCTAATGTTTGCTGAAAATATTTTTTTTTTAAATAGACAAAGTAGGACCAAGATCATCAATGAGATACACTGAAGGCCAGATAAGTGGGTCATTTTTATTAAACAATAATTTAAAATAGGTATGAAGTTAAATAGCCATATAAAACATGTACCATGCATGTAAAATATAACATGTCTTATATTGTGACAATTTCAAGGCGACTCACACTTTTATAAACTTTTCACAAATTGTCTATTTCTTCTATATCTTTAAGGAGTTACTCTTTTGATCTCTTTTCTAAAATAATGTCACCAGAAAGAAAGAAGAAGAACTTAAGGACACTAATAGATTGCAAAGGTTTTAAACAGACATCAGATTTAAATATCTGGTAACAATCTTTGCCAAAGGAAAAAGAAAAGTAAAGCAAACCAAGTATGGGACAGCTAGTCCTTCTCCTGCAGCAGAAGACAGTCCCGATCACAACAAAGTGTTATCTTATTCAAAACATTTTCATTCTTAACAATTTTTTCCCGTGGTTTTCTTGAATTGCCACTGGGGAGATATAAAGTCTAACTTGACAATGACAATGCTGATGGGATACTGTGAATTATGCCAGGCAAGAAATTGTGCAATGTGTTGTTTGTGTCTGCATTATTTAAGTATTCTTCTCTGCCAGTGCTATCAGTGCCAGACATGGGGTCACCCACAGCAAACCGGAAAAGACAGTAACTGTCAAAATTAAATGTCTGAGAAAGGCTGGAGAAATGACCAGAAGAGATAAAAATCATAAATAGGACATAACAGAAAAAAGGCAGCAAAGAACCAATATTAAATCATATGCAAAGACAGCAAAAAAAAAAAAAAAATTGTTTATCTAGAGAGAATGCCTTGTGATACTCTGCTATGTAAGACATATATGAAAAGAGGAAAAGGGGTGGAGTACAATTTAGACCAAGAACAAGATGGAAAAACAACATCAGTGAACCCTACAACAGTATGACATGTCTACAGCTGAGACCACGTAAGGAGCAAGAACTTGAACCTTATATCTCCCTCAACACCCAAACAGTAACAGATGTAGTGAATAAGACAGTCTCTTTTCTGTGCAGTCTACTTTTTGCATTCTGCAGTAACAAGACATCTAAAGGTTTTCCAAGTCACGTTAGATTTCTTTGTTCGTGGGATTCTGCAATGTAGTTAATGATTTAGAGCTGTATTGTGCTACAGATGAGATACACATGTACTGATTATTTTTTTCCAGTTTATATTCATATTATTTGGTTGTGGAAATTTTGTTTTCTTCTCTTTTTATTGCTTTTTAGGCTGCTGCAATCCTTGTTCTTTCTAGTTTCGCACTGAGCTCTTTTTGTAATGATTTTGTAATTATACTTTTATTTCTGCATTTGTTTAATGGTTCTTTCCTTGATGTTAATATTTGTCTTGATTTGTTTGGCATGCACCATCATCATGTTTGTGTTACTAGCATTTGAAGTAAATATCTTGTATATGGTCATTGATATTGGTGAGTAGTTGTACAATTGTTTCTATTCCTCTATGATGGCTTGATCATCTACAAACTTCTCAACACATATTCACTCACCATTTATTTTAATCTCCACAGGATGTTTTCTAGTAACTTCCTACTTCATTTTCTTGAAAGCAGTATTGCATCATTATCTCATTATACTAAAATCCACACTTCTCTGAAGCAGCCACTATGAACCCTGCTCATCCAGTTTTGTGTAGACAAAAGGATTGTGTTTGGGAACTTAATTTTACCCTGGTAAAACAGGCAATTTCTTTGGAGTGTGGGGAATATTTGTATCTGAGCTGAAAAATATTTCATCGTATTTAACTATATTACTGTAGTATGCACATGATGACACATAGCAATAAATTTTGCTGTCTTTTGTTTATATCTTCTTTATTCAAATTTGAAATTAAAAATCAGTTATAATGTGTCAGAGTAATATAAGTTAAATAAACACTTTCTTAATAGATAAGAAATAAGGGCTAAGGACATTACTTTGTGTATTTAGATCTTGTAAGTTATTATAGGCATGAAAACTGTCTAAATTCTCACATTTGAATTTAAATGAATTATTGCAGATCATTTGACTTCAGATTAAAGAAGGGAAAAAATTACTGTTGTTAGTATTCATGACAGAATATTTCACTTGATTTTTATGAATTTATATTATCTATTACCATTTTTGTTTAAATTTAGGTGGCATAATATGACGATATATCATTACCGTGATGTCATAATATTTTATTTGGATGGAAAAGCAACAGGAAAGAAAGTTACTAAAGGAGACTGGTACCTCAGTTTGGATCCTTACATTTACATTGGTGGAGGTGACAGTTTTGTGGAAACTAAAGGTACATTGATTTTCATAAAGTTATCTATGTTGTAATCAGTGAATTATTGAGTATTTATTTGTTTTAAATTTCATCCACTTTGAGAGAGATTTTTAAAGCTTTACAAGAACATTACTGTAGGGAATTGTGGAATGCTGTGGTAAACCAGTGAAAATAATAGATATAACTAAGGCAGTGTAGAAAAGCCTCTTTTTCACAAATACATTTTTTGACCATAGAGATTTACAACGGTATACATAGTACAGATGGAACAATACCTCCATCAAAAGCCAAATTGATTTTATATTAACAAGAGTCAAAGAAAGAAGGAGAGTTCTTGATGCAAGAGCAATCCCTAATGGTCTGAGTGACACCGACCATAAAATAGTTGTGATGACAGCAAAATATCTCGTCTTCAAGAAACACAAGACAAAAATTAACTAAAAACTATGATCTCATCAGGTTAGCAAGTTTGAAACAAGAAGGAGTAAAAGAACTGTTACAAAAGAAAGTAGAGATAGCATTCAAACAACCATCGCCTGTGGTAGGAAATATTGAGGATGAATGGAGTGTATTTAAAAGCACCTTGTTTAGTATTATGATGTGGGGAAAGAAAGAGAGGAGGCAGACAGAATTGTAACAAATATTCGCCTTGGTGGTGTGAAGAAGTGAAAGAAGCAGTTAAGAAGAAAAAATACTTATATAAACAGTAAATAAAATTGAGGAGCGATGATGATTATGTAAAGTTTAGACTGCAACGAAGAGTCACCAACCAGAGGATCAAGAAAGCAAAACAAGAATCCTGGGAACAGTTTTGGGGAGTCATTAGCAGAAAGTAAGAAAACAACCAGCAGAACATTTTTCAAAGTAGTACAAACTAAGCGAAAACGAGATGAGAGCTACAACCCAACAGTGGTAATTAACGATAAAACAGGAAAACCATTAACAGACCCACCATAGATAGCTGAAAGATGGAGAGAATACTTCAGTCAGCTCTTTAACCCCTTAGGAGATTGTCAGGAAAAAAACAACTAAAGATTACAAAGCAATAGTGCTAGAACCAGATATACTAATTACTGAAGTAGTTAAAGTCATCAAGCAGTGACCCAAATAAAAAGCACCAGATTGCCAATAGAAATAATCCAAACAGCAGGTGAAAGCAACATTAGATAGCTCCATAGAATATTCAATGCGACATGGGTCCAACAAACTGCTCCCAATGATTGGCAACATGCAAAAGTTGTACTATTGTGGAAAAACAAGGAAGGTAAGCAAGAATGCAATCAATATCGTGGCATCTCTCTTTTAAATAATGCTTGAAAATTATGCGAAGATAATAGAAACAAGGCTGCCACCAGCGATAGAACCACAGTTGACAGAAGAACAGATGGGATTCAGAAGAAATAGAAGCTGCACAGGTGCAAACTTCACATTTAAACAGTTAACAGAAAAGAACATTGAATTTGACCAGAACTTTTTTGTAACATTTGTAAACCAGGAGAAATCTTTCGACAATAATGCTTGCGTCTTTTTTAGGATGACATTTTTTGTTATTTGAAGCCCCACCCTGGCTTTTGTCAAGGGCCGCAATATAGGCAGGCGATAAATATGGCCAATTGTCTGAACGAGATTTCTGGGACCTCTCTTTGGTGATCCTCATCCACATGGTGGCACTTTTTGTCATCAGGTGTTTATCGCTTGTGTGATGTCCTGGTGGGGTAGAAAGTCAGTCAGTCAGTCAATCTTTCGACAAGTTTGATAGACAAAAATTATGGAAATTAATGGCTTCATATGGAGTGAGTGAACACCTCACTGAAGTTTGCAAAAGCTTATATAGCGATTGTAGAAGCATAGTTAGAATAAATCATGGAACATCTAATCCATTCAAATTAACATTTGGAGTAAGACAAGGGTGTGACTTATCACCACTCCTGTTTATCACCTGCATTGACAGATAAGCAAGGATGCCAGGCCCAGCAACGAAAATAATAGTAACATCAACGAATTACTCTGTGCTGATGACCAGGCCTTGATTGCAGATACAGCCATGAGTGTGCAACAGCATCTCACATCCATGAATGAAGAATGTAAATCAAATAATATAAAAATCAACACTGAAAAGACAGAAGTAATGTCAACAGAAAGAAAGAAGCAGGATTTAAACATAGCATTAGAGAATACAAATATTCTCCAGGCTTCTGAGTTTAAATATCTTGGAACAACATTAACTGAAGATGGTAAATTGGACAAAGAAAGTGACATCCAAAGCAGTAAAACAGGCCAAGTATTGGGACAGCTAGCTCCTCTCTTACAACATAAGGCAATCCCAGTCAGCACAATGAAACATCTCATACACAGCATACTCATTACCACCTTATGCTACCAGTGCCAGACGTGGTCACTCACAACAAAACGTAAAAGAAAATTAGTAACCATGGAAATGAGGTGTCTGAGAAAGACTGTAGGAGTGACCAGAAGGGATAAACTCAGAAATTAGGTCATAACCCTTAGTTTAACAGATGTTACATTTGCAGTTAGGATTTTAAAATGGTAGTTTAAACATGATCAGAAATGAAATAAGTACTACACTTTAAGGATTTCAGTATTTATTTCATTTTCTGGCCAGATTTCCATTACTTTCCTCTTAGTCTTCATCAACTGTAAGCTCAGTGGAAAGTTCTGTTGTTCATCTTCTTACGGACTTTGATCTTGTTCCAGAACTTGAATATTGCATGCAAATCCAATCTACAGATCTGGCTTATTTGTATGCATGCTTGTGGGTTCATCTCCTCTCAGGCATGTGCACTTTGAAGTAAATACCCCCTAATTAGTTGCAATTTACAACATGCATGCAAGTCTACCCCCCTCGCCCCCCCCCCCTTCCCCCATTATCTCCACATAAAATCACACATTTATTTTCTTTATTATAGGTCTGCCTGTTACACAGAGCTTTGTTGGTTGTCTTCGCAATGTCTATGTCAATGATATCTCAGTCTTGTATGAAGTTTCCAAAAGCAATCCAAGGTGTTCCTACAATGGTGGACAAAGTCCATTATATGGCTGTGAAAAAGTGTCAGAGGTGCCCATTTCATTTCCCAGGTAAATACTGTCATTTTGTTTTTAAACAAGAGATTAATATTTGGTAGTGGCTAATTAATTTTAAACCAGACAACAGCATAAACAAAAGATAACTAATGTAAACACTTTATTTAAAATTATGTTATTCAAAATCATATGTGCACATACTCTCATTTAAAAAATAAAAAATATTAATAATAAATTACTTTACTAACTGACCTTTTATGTAAATGTTTTTAGCTTTTCATTTCTGAATCTTAGCTAACTGGCCCAAAGAAAGACAACTTGTTCATGATTAGTTTTAATTTGCCACTAATGTGTTTAATCGCATGATACATCCAGTCCTGTTCTCCTTAGTCGTTTCCTACACCAAAAATATCTGGCTACAGTTTTACTTTACTTTGCTTCCATAATGAGCTGTGATAACACAGTGTTGTTATGTCCATACACTCATTTCAGTTGTAGAGGGAAAATTCCAGGCCAAACTGTTTATAAATTTGGGAAGCTAATTAATTTAAGTAAAAAAAAAGAAGTAAAGGACCCTTTTCCATGCCGTCATGCATATTAGGCAAATAGGGTTAGGCCTATATTTTATATACCAATCGGCACTCAGTGGGTGATGTGGTCAACATCATGGCAGCCACCTTTGAGTTATGAGTTATGAGTTATGATTTGGGTTATCTTCATGGCACTTCGGACAATTCATAGGTGCTCAGATTCCCGCTTCAACATATACATCATATATATATATACTCCCAGTTCTGACACTCTTCGCAAAGATATAGATGTGCTGCTCCCAAAATCCTCCAAATGTCGTACCTCTCTAATAGCATTAAAAAATGTCGGCATAATCCATGGGTTGGCCATCTGTAACTAAAGCAGAGCCAGCTAATCTGTCGGCTCTGTCACTGCCAACAACCTCCGCATGTCAGGACAAAGATGAAGGTAATTCTAAGCACTTGAGTTTTGCAATGACTCGATCCACTGTCTGCCTGCAAAGCCCGCCTCGACCCGAAGAAGGCACCACTGGCCTCCTGGACTGTTCTACCTTCAGAGCGTGCAGTAAATGCCCATGCACTTTTTTGTCCTCGTACAATGGACCTATCTGTGTAGATCAGCCACCTTTACTTCCAAGTATTGCACCTGCTACTAACTTAAGGCTGGGTTGACCTGGGAGCCCAGGTCATTTTTGAAAAAAAAATGTCAGGCATCAGGACCTGAACTCAGCCTTGCGATCCACAGGCGAGCATCTAGCCACTACACTACCACAGCTCCTCTTGTTGAAAGTAGTTATTGTAATAAAAGGTGAAATGACTGAATTTTTTCATTGACATGAGACAGTTGATTGATACAATCGTATTTATTCTTGTCTTCAGAGAAAGAACATATATTCAGTCCTTTAAGAAAGATATACTCTAAAAGTACTATAGATAGTCAGAGAAATGACAATATAAAAATTATTGTGGTTGCAAAGATACCAAAACAAGGAATATGAAGAGAGGATTTCTCAAAACATAGATGCTGTAAAAATTGTGACAGTTTATAGTTACTGCTAATTATGTTGCTTCTACAGGTCATCTTCCATGTTGCGATGGATAAAAGGAGAGCGAGAACAAAACCTCAGTGTTGAATTCAAGATAAAAACATTTCACAGTACCGCCATAGCTATGTTTGTGGAGATGATTTCACGGAAAGATTCTGGTGCTGGATTTGACTTTGGCAGTTTGGAAGTAAGAATTGTGTTTGTTCTTCTTAGTTTATTCTCTGAATTAATCCTAAAAAAATTGTTGCATGTGCATAATGTTAGCTGTTTTTCTTAAAATTGAATAAAAATAACAAACTGTTGTGTTTATTTTGACTGACCTTGGTGTTTATATTCAGCATTGTTTTGTCTCTGTTTATTTAGCTGTGGATCACTGAAAAGGCTGTTATTTTACAATTTATACCATCTGCGAAAGAACTTTCAAGTCAGGAGAATGTAACTGTGCCAGTTCCTGTAGCTGATGGTTTGGAGCACAGTATTTCAGTGGTTCTCCTCAACAGGTATGCTAGATTTTCAGTCAAACTGGTTGTGGGTCTGATACAAAGATGTAGCATGTCCACCTCTTGCAATAGAGGCTTTGAGTTCATTCAATTGAAGCATTATTTTCTTGTACAAATGTGTGTGCAAAACAAAAAATTTAAATTTTTTTTAAACCTGCCCGGCACTATTTATTGTGATTTCAGTAACTCTGTAGGCTTAGATCCTTATATTCCAGACTTCCTTATCTTACAGCAACCTAAAACATGATAAATACAGATAGTAAAAAACATTTGTTAGCATCATTTATACATGTGTGTTTAGCAGGAACCAAGGGGAGAAAACTATGAAAATTTCTCTGAAAATGTATTGAATGGAAGTCAGAAACATTGTAAAGTCATCAACCAGGAGACAAAACATCTAAAATCAAAGATTTCACAATAACTTGTTCTCTTAAAAATATTTTTGTTGATTCAGAACAAAGACAAAGGACACATGGAAACATACTGTAAATAATATGCCACACATTCCTCTGCATGCACAAACATACTCCATACACCATATACCTAGATACACACACCTGATTATGAAGTTATATCTGGTCAGGTTATCAGTTTATAATATAAGAGACACTATGAGCTGTGGATTTCATTTTGTAGTGCTTTTCACCTGTTCTTGTGTTGTGAACTGCAGATTCAGAAAAGGGTGAGTGGTCTGTTGCTACAGAACTGGTGGTGCCTTATGTATTTAGTGCATGTGTATGCTGTTAGTGTACTGAAACTACAGTCTGTGTCAGTCCACAAAGGTCAGTGACTGGTATTTCTATGTGGTTTCTGGTGGCTGTGAAGCTGGAACTGCAGTTACCAGTTTACCTGAATTAGATGAGAGATGAATAATAGATTTTATCTCTATATTTTACTCTTAAAAAAAACCAAGAAGGAATCACTGGTATAGATTAATTATTAAGAATTTAAAAAAAAAAAATGTAAACAAAGAACAAACATGCTACTCAATACATCCATGAATGCCCACATGTCCTACAGGCATGAAGAACACAAAAGATGCTACATGTGCAGCGACTGATCAGATTTATGCTAAATGTGTATCATAATTATATTGGTTGCTGTGGCCACATCAAGGTTGGCTGAAAGGTATCCCCAGTGTATTCTGTACTTATCATGATAGGGCAATCTGGCAGATTCTTTCCCACAAATATTTTCATATCTTTTTATTCAAATTGTTGTACTCCTCTTGCATGCTTATCTTTCACCAGTTCTTCTGAGCATGATTTTCATGAGGTAATTGTGTCCTTTAAAATCCCCCCTCTCCCCCCCCCCCCCCCCCAAGGTCACTTGTCAACCTTAATCTTGTTTTTTTATTTATTTTCCTATATTTAGTCTATCTACTTCATTCTTCACTGGAACTTTCCATTACTTTCATCCTGCATTTGTCTTTGTGTTTGAGCAAAATGTTTCGTTCCTTCCAATAGCTTGTGGTTGATCTATGATTCTGCACCAATAACAACGTTAGTGTGCACTTGACCATACTCAGCATCAAATTTGGCGGCACTAAAGACACAACATTTAGATCAGTGAGATACCTACCTACTATCTTTCAGATAAAAACAGCAGGCTTGAAAAGCAACAACCCTGTGCCTGCCTCAAAATAAGGGAGATCATTACACACCCCCTGCACGATGAACTATATACGCATAAAGGCAACAGACTTAAATGAGGCTAGTCTTGTTGGGTTGGGCAGAGACTGTACTTCAACGGATGATTTCCCTTTAAGACATAAAACATGGAGAGGAATGGATGCCTATACCAAATGAATACAAGCAGTACTTTGTGATGGTTGTCACACTGACTAAAAGAGTGCCGTGAAGTGGCGCTACCAATAGTTGATGCAGAAGTGAAAGCATTGGTGGAGGAACACACATCACTGGAAGATGCTGTTATTTCTGCAGATGGTTCTGTGATTCGTCAGAAGCGAAGTGGATGGGCTTTCATGGCAAGAAACAAAAAGAAAGTTATTAAAGAAGATAGTGGAGCCTTTCTACCACCAGCAGCATGGCAGTGGAGGTCATGGCTGTGACAAAGGCCCAAGAATGGCTGAATACTCAGGAGTTCACCAGTGCATGTTTTCTCAGCAACCCAGTGAGCATGCTACAGAAGTTCAAGGTGGGGTACATACGGAAACAGTGGCTCCAGCTGATTCAGCGTTTCACAAAATCATCTTCGGTTTTGTCTCAGCTATGTTGGTGTGAAAGGCAGTGAGAGAGCAGAGGCTTTGGCTGGCAGTGCAATTATCAGGAATGGGCCCTCTATGGACAGGAGAGATATCAATGCCATACGAGAGACTAAATGCTGGAAGTTGTTCAGTTTCGTGGAAAATGATTTTTCACTGAATAGACTGCATACCCTTGTGTACCAATTGGAGCCATGCAGTGGTTACATCATCCAGAACAGAATGTTAACCTTAAAACACTTGGAGACATACTCAGTATGAGATTGAAGCACAAATATTCATGTCCAATGTATGAAGAACATGATCTCAAAAATAAACAATGAACAATGGCGATACTCAGTCTTAAACAGTAAGATAGTGGTTTTTTGTGTGTGGTTATGTAGTAACGTCTTTATTTTTTAAATGCTGATTTATATTGATTCCTTTATTTTTAAGTAAAGCAAAGCTAGAAGTTGATGGGACTGCTGCATTTTCAAATCGCTATCATAAAACTTTAGAACACAGAGGAACTGTTGTCCTCGGTTACAGCTTGAAACAGATAGACAGTAAGTGAATTAAAGTACTTATTAACCTTTGTCATAAGTTCCCAGATGCTATAGAGAAACCTACTACATTATATTGGGAGGAAAAGGGGAGGGGTGGGGGGGGTGGGGGGGGGGGGGAGTGTGCTCACCACAAGGAGATAAAATGCACTACTAAATTAACTGTATTCCTATGGTTGAGATTTTGTGGATTGTGAACTCGTTAATTAAACCGTGACCACTGCATGCTATAAGAACAGCTCATGATGCTGATCGTTTTCTTGAGAAAACTTTGCACATTTTAACAGCAGGGATCATGCATTTAGTCACCTTTGTGTCAAGCTGTCCTGATCTACTTGAATGTAGAGACATACACAGACCTGCACTTCATACAGGTGACCTGTTTGACATGAGCTTCTGTCTTGCATGACCAAGCATTCAGTCCCATATATTCATATTTTCTTTTTTATACTGCCTGTTGTTTTGTTTTTTGCAGTTAACTAAACATAGCCACCATAAACATCAATCCATCAGCTAACTAGAACCCAGGCAAACAACTCTTAATGAAGTGCTTGGCGGTTTTGTAACGAAAGCCAATGAAAAATCTTTAGTGAAAGACAGCTTAGCATACAACATTACAACATCTTGCATGAGAATGAAGGTGAAGGCAGTACCTGCAGCTCTCAGTAGCTAGAGGACAAGATGCATACACATGTCGTAACTGTAACAGACTCTGAAAGGATGCTGAGAAAGGCGAAGGAAAACTGGGATGCTTTGAGCAGAGTGGCAAGCTTCACTGGAAAGGTCACGGGTAGTGAGCATACTTTGGATCTTTTCTCCCGGCCATGTGTTGGGAAATGAGCAGGTGGATAGACTGGCCGATTCTGCACGACTTGGTGGTGAATTGATGTATGACAAGCTGGATGTTGTGAGGGCCTTTTGGAGCGAGTGAACAGTGCCGAGGCACAGATAGATCATTATGGTCTGAGGAGAATAGCACTGCAAGGAGTTACAAGGCGATCTGGCTGACGCTCAACGCTCAGGGAAAAGGCGAGATGGATATACAATCAGACAGTTACTGGTACCATTGGAATTTTAACTCTTGGCTTGCTGCTAAAGATGGGGACAGAGCGCTTATGGGGGTATTCCAAGTGCTGTGATGTCAATTCTTAATTCAACATTTAACATTCATTTAGCATTCTGACATTTTCACCAGAATCACAAACCAGATCCGTGTTCCTGTGCTGATGCTGCTACATGGCAGAGTCATCCATAGATTGATCTCTTTGCCTTCCTCTTACTCTTTTTTTAAATCATATTTGCCTTATGTCAAATGAAGGTCAACTAGTCTGTATGATCTATTTGTATTAATTTGTACTGTGTGGTCCCAGTAAGATGAAGAGTCAGAGATATCAATATTATTAGTAAGTGACTTTCATAGCACTAGGGAATTTGTGGAGGTCAAAAGAAATTAAAAGAAATACTAAACTAAAAATTTTTAACTCTAATGTTAAATCAGTACTATTTTATGGGGCGGAAACATGGAGAACAACTAAGACAATTACTAATAAATTACAGAAATTCTTTAACTGGTGCCTGCGCCGAATAGAGGGAATTAAATGGTATGATAGAATAACTAATGTAGAACTTTGGGAGAGAACTAAACAGGCTCCAGTGGATCAGGAAGTGAGGAAAAGACGCTGGCGTTGGATAGGGCACACACTGAGAAAACAGTAGAACAGCATAACTAGAATGTCTTTGCAATGGAACCCACAGGGGCATAGGAATAAAGGAAGGTTAAAAAACACAGAAGAGAAGAGAGCTGGAGAATGAAGTTAAATAGATGGGGAAGACATGGGCAGAGCTCCATGCAATGGCGAAGGATAGAACGACTTGGCGTGAGTTGGTTGAGGGCCTATGCTCCATTGGGGGATAGAAAGGCAGAAGAAGAAGAAGAAGAATGAATCATGAATTGACATCACTGTACCTGGAACACAGGTTATCTCCCCTTCTTTCTTAGCCAAGCTATTAACATAAATTTGAGTATTTTAATTGAATTTTTTATTTACAGAGCAGTATGGCTTTGTTGGGTGTATGCAAGGAATCAAAATACAAGAACAAAAACTAGATCCTATAGCCATTATGGAATCAGATGCTGCAGTTGGACTTATTTTAGATGGGTAAGTGCTTGTTACTTTTATTTTTGTCCGTTGCTGTCACAAATATATTCAGGTAACTTATTCTAATCTCTAATTTGTGGGATATGTCCTTTGGGCTGCTAAAGGTCTTGGGCTGGATTCCATCTACAACACTGAAAATATAATAGGACAAAATGGAATTGAAGAATGTACCATATTACCGACACACCTCCATGCCATGCAACAAGACTGTCAAGCATCTTCTCTCGTTGTCTTCCTCTATCCCTCCGTCCTCAGATCTTTCTAGTGGAAAGATGTGTGTCGGCACATGAACTGATACATGCTGCAGGAGATCGCAGATTATGGAGAGGCGTGATCGCCCACGCCAGTCGGCAAGGCACCTGATGATGACCATAGTGCAGCTTATAAGTGGCACAATAGAATCAGGATGAAGATGACCCTCTGACTTCTTTATGTGATACACAAACTTTGTCCTGATTCTACTTTTATTTATTCTTTATTTGACAATTTTTTCATTCTCTTGATCATTCTTTAACAGACTTCTATTCCAGTAAAAAAAAAAAAGGTAGTAGATTGTATTGCAAGGAAAAATGCTTAATTCAAATGAAAACACTGCCTAACCCTGTCATTATATGTACATTGACTTCTTTCAAAATAATGTTCCAGTTATCTTTGATGACAGTTTTTCTCTATATAAGTTGAGCATTTTATAACATTAAACAGATTGTTGAATATTGCAGTTAAATTCTGTTTAAAAAAATAGTTTATGATATTAGTAACAAATCATCAAAGATTGACAAAATAAATGTTTGAAAAATTGAAGACTTGTTGCAGTCCTTTTGTTTGATTTGGTTTGCAGAGGAGTTCCATAAGTGCTTCAGTCTCTTCTCAACAACCAACAAGAAAAATCTCAGCACAGTGTACAAGCTCCACAAGACTATAAGAATCCAGATGTGTATATACAAGAATCACACACGCTATATGTAGTGGATACTTCTTCCAAATGATTAATTCTTTCTTATAGCTTTTCTAATTTAGACATTTTTCTGATAAACAGTCTCTCTGATTTACTTTTTTTTTTTTTCCAACTGTTGAAAAATTTTATTGTGTGCAGTGTTTAATGGCTCCTTATGGTTTATACTGTTCTCCTTTTTCTTGTTTGCAACAATTGGCAAGTCAGAACCATGAGATGAACCAGATCTGATTGAGGATGGACACTGAGGTGGATATTCCGAGTGATGAGTGATACAGGAAGCTTTCTAAAAACTAAGTGTCACCTCACAGAGCTGAAACACATGAATAATTAATATTTACTTAATATTGAAAACTGTGTTACATGTTTCAGGGTGATGCTGTGATATAGATACAAATATTTTTTTATTTCAAATGCCCTTGCAGGTGTCAGCTGGCAGATCACTGTGCTGAGAACAACATATGTGAACATGACTCAGTGTGCTTCTCTGATTGGGATGGTGTTTACTGTTTGTGTCCAAATGGTCATTATGAAGGAAGGGCTTGCCATTTTTGTAAGAACATTTAATTACAGATTCTGAAAGAGTTTAGCTGTTTCAGTAGAAAGCATCTGCTGTATAATAAATTCTTTCTTGTGAATTCAAACCAACACATAATGTGTCTTTGTGTTTTCTGTTTTAACATGAACATACTTAAGAAATCTGGCTTCTTGGAATGGTTATTTCCACTGTGTTTTAGCCTCTTTGAAAGTTCTGCATTTACGGTTCTTTCATAGAGGTTATTTTGTCCTGTGGGCCTCTTCTTTTTAGCTTTTTTCTTTCACCACTTCAGGTGCCAAGTGAGAGAAAAGTTTATGTTTCTGCTTCTTTCTTGTCTGGCCTACCTGACAATACTCACATCTTGCTGTTGTAGAGTTTCTCTGATGTTGTCTTTCAATATTGTTTTTGGTCTACCTTGTTTTCTATGTCCTTCCCTTCTTTTTGTGTTTGTCTTATATAATATGGCGTCACAAGGCATTCTCTCTAAGTGTGCAGACCATTTTAATTGCTGTCTTTGCATATAACATTCATTGCTGATCTGATCTTTTCTGGTCACTGCTGTGGGCCTTCTCAGATATCTAATTTCTATGGTGACTATTTTTTTTTAGTGACCCTGTCTAGCACTTATAGCATAGTGTGAGGATGACTATACATTGAATGAGATATTTCTTTGTGCTGATTGGGATTGCCTTATGTTGTGAAGAAAGGAAAAAAAAGGGTGGTGGGGGGGGGGGGATCATAACTGTCCCAATACTTAGATTGCTTTACTGCATTGGATGTTAATTTCTCCATCTAATTTCTCATCTTCAGTGAACGTTTTTCTCAGATATTTAGACTCAGATGCCTGTTTAATGCTTTTACACTCTACTGATTTTCTTAGGTTCTGCTTCCTTTTTTTCCAGTTTATATTACTTCTATCTTTTGACTGTTGATTCTCATACGTCTCATGTATATCAGGGCACTCTATGAGAAGAGCATGTTGAGGACCCACCAGGAGTAAATCTATTCAGCCACCTTGATGGAGCACAGAGGTGGAGTAAGCATTGACAATTTAAAACAAAAAAGGGAGCACTGAAAGAATGGCAGTGAGTACCCCACAAAAAGAGAGTCGAGATTGCAGAGTTCAAGCTGTGTGCCGCAAATGTTTAAAAAAAGTTCATGAATGAGATTTGGGAATATAGAACAATGGGTAAGTTCTGGAACCTGCAAAGAAATATGAGTCAAAAGGAGCAGCCCACCTCACTTGGTACAATTTACTGTGAAAATGGCCAGGTCCTGACAACTGACATTGAGAACGAGGAAGCTTTTCTGAACAGATTTTTAGAGGAGACTTTAAAGGAAACCCCTAATTAACCAGTTCTTACAATATGCCTATTGAGGACATAGTAGGTCTGTTATTTTTCCTCCGCCATGTGACCTCAGAACCTACAAGAGGAGTCTTGTAAATAAAATCCTGTATAATTCTTTCTATTCTAGTTTACTTATAGGCACACAGTTTTTTTAAAATTGCTTACCTGAAAAACAATCAAACATTTATAGCCAGGAATATTTCAGATGAAATATTGCAAGAAAGTCTGGTAATTAATATTCTGTTGTCTGTAAGATAGAAATATGAAAACAGTTTATTGCTGCTGGTTTATTTGTACATTTTCATTGTTCTCTTACAGCAAAGTATGCAGCTACCTGTGATGAATACCATCGCATGGGCTATCTGGCCAGTGGAGTGTATTTGATAGATGTTGACGGACCAGGGCCAATTAACAGTACTTATGTGTATTGTGAAATGAACAAGGAGGCTGAGACTGGAGTTACAGTTGTCGAGCACAACTTTCAGCCTAACCACACAGTCAGAGCACCATGGTTGCCAAATAACCAGTACCATCTTAAATACAGGTGTGTATCATGGCTGTATTATATCACTAGAAATTATCTTTTTCTTGAAAAGTTTCTCAGGTTCCAATGAACAAAGACTTTTTTTCAGAGGGTCATAAATTGGGCATGCAGGTCTTACACTTGCCCCTTCCACAACACTCATTTTTCACAAAGGATGCATTCTATGCCTTATAATTTTAGGAATTACAGGAGGACATTGTCTTTCTTCTGGATGTGAAGCACAGTTGAAAAAGCTGTTTATAATTGGATGGAATGGAAGTTAATGAATGTTTAAAAAGAAATAACAGATTGAGTGTATCATAACAGTGAAATACTCTTTGGAAAGAGAAACATCTTTTGAAATTTATGAGCTTCATTAAATGCTTCCTCACCCATTTTTAAGAAAGGAGACAAGTATAAGTGAATATCACTATTATCTACAAGTTATAAGATGCTGTCGGCAGTACTGCTAAACAGGCTGAAACCACACGTTGAAGATATATTGGGAGATTACCAAGTGGGTTTCCCACAACAGATCAACAATAGATCAGATATTCATTTTATGGCAACTAGCAGAGCAAAATAGGAATGTACATAATGTTTTTTGTGGATTTTAAAAAGGTGTATCATAGTGTTCATGGAAACAGTTTATGGAATGCTATGAAGGACTTTGGAATACCAAGAAGTTAATTACCATGACCAAACTAATTATGGAAGACACTTGTAATAATAATAATAATATAAAGGCAGAAAGTCAGACCCTTTTCAAATAACATCTGCTTTAAAGTAAGGTGATGCTCTGTCCCCACTTCTTTTCAACTTGGCCCTGGAGAAAATTATAAGGAAATTGAAACAAGAATGTACCGTAGGATAATCTGCAAGAATACTAGATTATGCAGATGACATTGATATCTTTGGAGAAAATGAACCAGATACTGTTAAAACACTGAATCTCTTAAAAGAATCAGTTCAGAACAAGTGGAAACATTTAAGTACTTGGCTGCAAACTTCAACTGCTCCAACATGCTGAGTGAAGAAATTAAATCTAGAATACAATCTGGAAATAAAGTATACTATGCCCTTCAACATCTAGTAAAGTCAAAGTGTCTGTCTCGCAACACCAAGATCAAAATATATAAAAACCTTGATAAGATCAGTCATTTTATATGGCTCTGAAACTTGGAGCACAACTAAAAGAGATGAAGCCTTATTACAGGTTTTTGAAAACAGTCTTACAAAGAATCTTTGGACCTATCAAAGATGCAAACAGCGGGGAATGGAGGGCGAGAAGCAACAATGAAATTCATAATCTGTTTGAATCACCATTGATCTCTGGCATCATGAGAGCTTATAGACTGAAATGGTTGGGGCAAATTGAAAGAATGTCTGATGACAGAGAAATAAAAGCTGTATACACAAGGGAGATGAATGGTCGTAGACCTCGAGGCAGACCAAGAAGACAATGGAGAGATAATGTCCAGACAGACCTGCAAACACTTGGTGTCACCAACTGGAAAGAGAAGGTCAACAAGAAAGATGAATGGAGGTGGGTGATAATGAACCTCAACGGCTCGGAATGCTGAAGAATAAGAATTAAATTGTTCTTTAATTTAACTTTTCATCACGTATACCTTTAATATTATTATTTAGTATTTAACGTTAGCATTTTCTTTTAAGTTTAAGGCCTATTATTTCATCTACCAAAATATGACTAGCTTCATTGTCTAATGTTAGCATCTTTTATATTGCTGCTTGTGGTATATTTGATTATTTCAGTATTTATCACTGCTGTAAAATGTCTTGTCTTCCAGCATTTTATCACCCTGGCAAGCATATATATAACCTGGAAAAAACTGTCTGAAATATTCTTCTTGAAGTAAACACATTACAACTTGTGTATTTACTGTACTGCTGTTAGCTGTAGATTTTGATGATGCATTGGTTGGAAAGACTGGACTATAGACATGCATGCATTTGACTGACTCATTGATTGTGCATGCTCTGGATATATGTGTTGAGAACAATACATAAATCAGTGGTTAGGTCAGCTGCTTCTATTTTTGTGCCAGGTCATGCTGGAGTCAAATGGAATGAAAAGGCAAAAGTTCTAGTTCATCCAGTTAATGTTTTGGAGGTTATTTCATTTGATTCAACATAATGGCTCACCACACATAAAAACCTGGTACAGCTGCTGATTTCAATAACACAGGTTAGGCCCTGGTCTTGATCAGGGTGGGAGAGACTGAGGTCAAATTGGAAATTGCAATATTTGCTTTCTATAGAGCAAAAGACAACTCGTGAACCAATACCAGACTGAAGTAATCCATCATCCCTAACACTTGTAGAAAGTTAAAGAATATCTGAGAAATTCAGAACTTGTCTGAAGTTCAGTGATGATAGTCCAATGTATAACTTGTAAATGTTAAGTTTCGTGTTTTGCTGGAGTCAAGGTGCTGGCATAATATTGGCATCATTACCTGTTTGTCATTTAGTCACTAGAAACCTACACCATATCCTCATGGTGCTCTCATGACATGTATTAGCATCTTTTTTAGTTCGCTTCCCTTTATAAACATGCTTTCAGTCAGTGCAGCTTATTAATTTAATATAGGACTGGGAGCAGTACTCACAGCTGTGACTTTTGTTTTTGGGTATGTAATGAGCTTCTGATGCTATAATTATTTCCAGAGAAATGTCCAGAGAACAGCTGACAAAATTAACTTCTATCTCAGGAAACTGTGAACAGTATTTGCAGTACAGCTGCACTAAATCCCCAATCAGGTAAATTTGGGTAGATATGCACATTTGTGTGTGGGTGTGCAACCATTCAAATATTTTATCAACATCATGACCCACCAGACACAAATCAGCCTAGGTGAACTAATATAATTGTTTGTAGTTCTCAGTCTGTGTGTGATATGTTACAGTCTTCACTCTCATTTTTCTTTTTTGATGATTTTCATGCTGAAATTGTTACTCGTTATTTGTTCATTACTTCTAATACACTGAGTTTACCATGGACAAAGAAGAGAAGAAATACTGACATTTTAAAAGATCTGAACATCAAGGAAGATTGGCTGATAAATAACATCTTGTCTTGGAAGCTGAAATATTTTGGTCATTTCAAGCACCATAGCGGAAAAATAATAATAGTAGAAGGCATGGTAAGAGGAAGGAGGGGCAGGGGCCAACCAAAATAAAGATGGGCACAGGATAGAAGTGACAGCTAAAGTATGAAAGTACATGAGGTGGAAGAGCTGGTGAAAGACCGAGTTTCTTTCAGGCAGACTGTGATGAGAGCTTCATCCCGCAAAGGACCTGCTACATGATGACAATCTTGCATAAAGGCAGGGGAGTGATAGACAGAAGACAGCTCAAGAGCTACAAGCAACTGTAGACAAAGTGACTGACTGGTGTGCACAATTGATGTGCTGTCATCACCCAAAAAAGATGGCTGTTTGATGGTGCTCTCTGGTCAATAGGATTGTTAGAGCTGGTATCCCAAGCATCACAGTTAATGATAGAAACATCAAAAAAGAAAGCAAACTGAAGTGCCAAGGTATCACTTTCAGTAGTAGCATGTTCTTCAGTGATCATGTGGAGGCTATTGCCCTCAAGTGCTATAATGAACTTCTTCCTCTTCATCCTTTCTCCAAGGGACGTAATTGTTCTGTGCCTTTATACAGCATAGCTGCAATATTCTTTGCCTTTTTACAAACAGAAAGTTTACCGTGTAAATAAATGTCAGCGAATTGCATAACATGAGATCATGGTAGACAGTGTGTTAATGAGACAAAGTTACATAATTAAAATATGAACAGAGTACTTGGGGGATCTATATAATGATAATATACCAGAAGTATATCTGCAGGACAACAGTAATGACCCACCCAAACTGGCTGCAGAAGTTCAGGATTCATTGCATCACATAAAGAATAGAAAGGCATCTGGGCCAGACAACATCACATTGGAAGAAACTGAAGTTTTGGGAGAATCTGGAATTGAAATAAAAAAAAATTGTTAAATGACGTTTATAATAGTGGTTATATTCTTAATGCCCTATAAAATGTGAGGACTATCGCACTTAAGTCTTATGGATAAAAAATGTTACTAAGAATAATTATGTGGAGAGAAGAGAATCAAGAGTGGCAGACAGACCGTGAGTGCAAGGACTGGCCAGCAGGCACTGCAGAATCAGAAGTTCAACAATTTATTAATGACAATTCATATGAAAAAGGCAGAGACAGGTATGCTCCATGAAGAGTGGCAAGCATTGCTCCAGAGGCCAAGGGTAGTTAGAATTTTTTAAATATTTTCTTCAAGGAGACAGGTGTTTTGGGAAACAAACAGGCAGATAGACTGGCTGGATCTGAACCAGTCAGTGGTGAACTGATGCATGACAAGTTATATTTTTAGAGTCCTTTTAGAGTCATTGAACAGTGTGGGGGCACAAATAGATCATCACTGTCTGGTCCTTTTAGAGTCATTGAACAGTGTGGGGGCACAAATAGATCATCACTGTCTGGTCTTTTTAGAGTCATTGAACAGTGTGGGGGCACAAATAAATCATCACTGTCTGGTCCTTTTAGAGTCATTGAACGGTGTGGGGGCACAAATAGATCATCACTGTCTGGTCCTTCTAGAGTCATTGAACGGTGTGGGGGCACAAATAGATCATCATTGAACGGTGTGGGGGCACAAATAGATCATCATTGAACGGTGTGGGGGCACAAATAGATCATCATTGAACGGTGTGGGGGCACAAATAGATCATCATTGAACAGTGTGGGGGGCACAAATAGATCATCATTGAACGGGTGGGGGCACAAATAGATCATCATTGAACGGTGTGGGGGCACAAATAGATCATCATTGAACGGTGTGGGGGCACAAATAGATCATCACTGTCTGGTCTTTTTAGAGTCATTGAACAGTGTGGGGGCACAAATAAATCATCACTGTCTGGTCCTTTTAGAGTCATTGAACGGTGTGGGGGCACAAATAGATCATCACTGTCTGGTCCTTTTAGAGTCATTGAACGGTGTGGGGGCACAAATAGATCATCATTGAACGGTGTGGGGGCACAAATAGATCATCATTGAACGGTGTGGGGGCACAAATAGATCATCATTGAACGGTGTGGGGGCACAAATAGATCATCATTGAACAGTGTGGGGGGCACAAATAGATCATCATTGAACGGTGTGGGGGCACAAATAGATCATCATTGAACGGTGTGGGGGCACAAATAGATCATCATTGAACGGTGTGGGGGCACAAAAAGATCATCACCGTCTGAAGAGAATGGTGCGAAGGGGAATGGCCAGTGTGCCCAACACTCCACACTCAGAAAAGGACGTACATACAGTCAGACTGCTACTGGTACCATCTGAGTTGTAACACTTTGCTGGCTGCCTAAGATGGAGACGGAGCACTTATGGGAATGTCCAAAGTGCTTTGATGTCAGTTTTTGAAACTAAACTTATTTAATTTGTCTACATTTTGATCACAGTGCTGGAATTATCTTTTCTAAATTACTGTAAAAAATCTGACAGTACATTAAACCTTCCCCCATTAAAACTTTAAGAAAATGTCACTTTTCAAAATTTCTGAAACAAAGAAGTGCATTGTTATAATTCTCTGAAAATCTACAAAAACTCTAAAAATAAAAAAATAGAAGAAAAGAAGAAAAAGAAGCAGAAGAAATTTGAAGTCTTGGTCAGTAATTTTAAAAATCCAGGGTATTGAAACATATGACCAACAAGTAGACAAACGCAAGCTCTTGCATCTTTTTAGTCACAAGAAGATGGATTTTTTGTATTTAGAGTCATTATTTTGCACATAAGTGATTTTATATAGATATGTGTGTGTGTATATATATGTATGTGTGTGTGTGTGTGTGTGTGTGTGTATATATATATATATATATATATATATATATATATATATATATATATATATATATATATATATATATATATATATATATATATATATATATATATATATATATTAATAAAGGGAGGTCATCACTAAATACAGATGGAATAAACAAAACTGCTTTCCTGACTTTTGACCATGAACATGGGGGTTTTGTTGACACAGACACAGAGAGCAAAGTGATATTTCAAGTTTATTATGATGTCACAGTGACCCCCCAAAAAATCTATATTTTGCTTTGTTTTGTTAATATCTGAAAATGTTTTTATTTTATAAATATAATCACCACCCATCACATCTACACACTATGCAGTTGCAACCATATCCTAGGTGTATTTGCCACTGCCCAAAGACATCATTCATCAAAAACCTGTAAGAGTTATAAAACCTGATTTCTGAGGGCAACAGGGTTAATGCTGATCCTTGTGTTTGATTCTGCTTCTCCTGTTGAACATAATGTGTCAGATGTCTTACAATCAATCCTCAGCCTCAGCAAGAGGACATGGTTCAGGTCTGCCAGTGGTGATATTGTTGATTACATAGCCTCCCATACTTCAGGATTCTGTGACTGTCCAGCAGATACAGGCTGTGATGGAGAACACTGCTACTGTGATCTTGGTAAGACATTGCAATCCCAGTATGTCTCTAAAGGTATCAGGAGTCAATCTTGTACCAGTGATCCAAATAAGTCTCCTGTAAATTTCAAACATTTTATTTGAAATTATTTGTATAAGTTGAGTGTCCAAAATAATAAATTCTGCTACTATTATTACTGTGGGGAGCTGCCTAGGTGTAGTGGCTAGATGCTTACCTATAGATCTGAAGGTCTGGGCTGAGGCCCTGACGGAGCTGGCCTTTTTTCTTTACAAAAATGACCTTGGCTCCCAGGATGACCCAGCCTTAACTGGGTACCAGGTAAGGTCCTGGGAGGTAAAGGTGGCTGGTGATATGTTGGCCACATCACCTACCAAGTGCCGATTTGTCTATAAAATATATGTCTAGCCCTATGTGCCCAATATGCCTTACTATTACTATATGGAAAATTTACTTTTAAAAAAAAGACAAAAACATGAAGAAAGTCTGTTGTACAAATATTTGCTGTAAATGACAAAGATGATGTTCTTTGGTGCAAATATTATGTCATACACTTTTGATAACTTAATAAGTGTTTACAGCAGTATGATTTTACAAAAAGAATTTAACGTTAATGTTTTCTAACTATCTAAATTCTTGCAGATTTTTCCCCTGTGCCTTTTTTTCCCCAGCTATTTCTAAATACTTTTTAATTTGCAGTGTAATGTATGCAGTGTGAGTTTTGATTTTTTTTTCAAGTTGGCAGTAAATTATGCATACTTGCTCAGTGACCCAATGTGCATGTTACAGAAGATCAAGGCAGGGAAATAGGGAAACAAGGGATACAACTCATGCAGCAATTCAATGTGCATGTTACAGAAGATCAAGGCAGGGTATATAGGGAAACAAGGGATCCAACTCATGCAGCGATTCAATGAGCATGTTACAGAAGATCAAGGCAGGGTATATAGGGAAACAAGGGATCCAACTCATGCAGCGATTCAATGAGCATGTTACAGAAGATCAAGGCAGGGTATATAGGGAAACAAGGGATCCAACTCAAGCGGCGATTCAATAAGCATGTTACAGAAGATCAAGGCAGGGTATATAGGGAAACAAGGGATCCAACTCATGCAGCGATTCAAGGAGCATGTTGCAGAAGATCAAGGCAGGGAAATAGGGAAACAAGGGATCCAACTCATGCAACGATTCAATGAGCATGTTACAGAAGATCAAGGCAGGGAAATAGGGAAACAAGGGATCCAACTCATGCAGCGATTCAGTGAGCATGTTACAGAAGATCAAGGCAGGGAAATAGGGAAACAAGGGATCCAACTCATGCAGCGATTCAATGAGCATGTTGCAGAAGATCAAGGCAGGGAAATAGGGAAACAAGGGATCCAACTCATGCAGCAATTCACAAAATCACCTTAATATTTGTCCTAGGGTTATGCTGTGATGTCAAAAATGGGTAATCTATGGATAGGAGAGACATTATCAATGCAATAGGAGAGAGAGAAATACCTGGGAATAATCACTGATGGCAGCAAATGGTGAAAGGATAAATGGATGTGTGTTCTGTTAGTCTAAAACAGATGGCTTTTCACAACACTCATTTAAAGCAACAGTACAAGAAACCCTCTCACTTCATTTGGGGTTGTGAATTTCCATTTCTTGACAAAAGACTTAAGTTTCACAGCAATCTTTGCCTCAGTAGAGCGGTTTGTTTGTTTAACAAACACAGCAAGAATTTCTTTACTGAAGTAAATATTTAAAATAGCCAGTGATTTATTTATTCCTTCTGACAGAAATAAACCAGAAGTGCCAGTAAAAGGTGGGTACTTTCACTAGAACTATCAATATCAGAATCTGCCCCACTTGTGTTTGCTGCCGACAGTGAACTGCTAATCGAGTTTTAGCTAGACTTAACTTTGAAGTGACATGCCGTTGTTTCATTGTCATGATTTTTTGATAGTACTTTGTTAAATTTATCAGTAATACTACTCTGTAATATCTTCACCTTCAATTTAAAAAAAAAATAAAGGCACAAATCAAGAAAATCATGCACAGAAACATAAAAATGATAAATATAACCACCACAAGTCCCTTCAAGAATTTGATGCCATGTCCAAAATGTCCTCAATGTGTCAGCGACAAAGGTGCTCCCAATAAAAATTCATTGAAAATGTACTATAAAATGAGAAAAATGGAACATGTGACCACTGGATAGATATGGAAAGAGAGACAGAGGAAAAAAGCGTGAGAAGATTCTTGACAGTCTTTTGTCATGAACTGATACACACAGTTCTGTGATTCCCCCACGCCAGTTGGCAAGGCACTTGATGATGATGATGATGATGATGATTATATCTACAGTGTTCTCTCTAGTGTGAACTTCACTGTGATACATAAAGTAATACATTGTGCTGCTAACTGCTAGATAACAGATGCTTAGTTCACACTATGAGTTACTTTATTTCAGATGAAGCTTATTTTTACTAATTTTTTTAACATACTTAAGTCCGTTTAACTGTCTGCAGAATCTGAGGAGCCCAGAGTTGATCAAGGTTTTAACCGTAAGCGGAACCAGTTACCTCTCATGGAACTTTCATTTATTCAGAACAGTGAAGGCACGGCACAGATGACTCTTGGACCTCTGAGATGCTGGGGAAGTGGTATGTATTCAGTATTATCCTGGGGAAGTGGTATGTATTCAGTATTATCCTGGGGAAGTGGTATGTATTCAGTATTATCCTGGGGAAGTGGTATGTATTCAATATTATCCTGGGGAAGTGGTATGTAATCAGTATTATCCTGGGGAAGTGGTATGTATTCAATATTATCCTGGGGAAGTGGTATGTATTCAATATTATCCTGGGGAAGTGGTATGTATTCAATATTATCCTGGGGAAGTGGTATGTATTCAATATCATCTTTTTTTACATTATAATTAGGTTGCCTTTTGTGACAAGATTTATATAAATAGTTAAAAACTGTCGGTCAGTCATGCTACTATAAAGTATTTCAAGATCACCCTTACAAACTGCAACATTGGAGCTACAACAGCTCAAAGCTATTAACTCATAATTGTGCAGACACATACAGCCAGTTAATTATCCCCTTGGTGTTGACTTCCTTTCTCTGACCAAATAACTATGAACATTTTCCCCAAAACTACATCTCCACTCCATCTAGCTTCCCTACTTGATTAATCTGTATCTATCAGTTGCACTCATACAAAACAACAAACCAATGACAACTTCTGAGTAAGTTGGTTTGTTGTAATGACAACTTCTGATTGAGTTGGTTTGTTGTAATGACAACTTCTGAGTAAACTGGTTTGTTTGTTTGTTTTTTTATGATGTTACTTATACAAGATTCATTGGACATGGTGAATTTTTTCTTTATCACTGTTTCATATATTCAACTGGACTTATTACAGTGTGGCCTAGAAACATATTTAGTCTAAATCTGTTGTTGATACTTCATTTTTGGTATCCACAGAATCACAGTCACAAGAGAAATCGGTAACCATCACTAACAGCAACAGCTTCATAAGACTACAGTCCTGGAAAAAGGGAGATTTTCTTCTTCATTTTAAAACTCATCAAACAAATTCAGTTCTTCTCTATCACAGCAGTGATCTGCAAGAGGCTGCACAACGAGATCCTAAGAATAGAGGCAACATTTTTTATGTCAAGATTTTATCTGGTTTGTAGATATTTGAGGTCTTTCTTACAATAATTGTGGTTATTATCAGAATAAAAATAATCATCAGTGACTTACTTTTAACTAGTGCCATAAGGATTTTCAGTGAACCCAGGATATGTTTATGGATGCACCAATCCCCTTCATTATAAATCTACCAATACACATAGTCTGGATTGTGCCAGTTCAGTGTTTATTAATGAGTCTATTCGAACCCTTATTGTGCTGCTTGTTTCAGTCTGGTAGTCTGGTGGTCTGGTAGTCTTAGTTTCAGCTTCATAGCAAACGGGTCGCCCCATCTTTGCTCCGCTCCTGTGCCAACGAAAAAACACTCAGAATGTTTATCACAGTCCCTTGTGGAAAGATTGACAATCTGCTGTCTCAGCATATCTAGCATACACTCGCATTAAAGCATACGGTAGCCATCCGAAGTGCTAGCACAAACAGTCCAACATTAGAAATGCAGTTCATCATTGATGATAGCAGAACTTGTTGCCAACAGATCAGCAGTTGCCCACGCGATCAATTGTAATCACATCCGGGCACCGCCAACATTGACGACCGGCATCACGCCATTTTCTGAATCTCCAATTCACACCATGTTGGTCACAGTCGAAAAAAACATTCCAAATGCAATCCGCAGCTCACAGGGTCACGCCATGCATTCAACTCAGAAGCTGGGCGACAAAACTATATCCAGTCTACAAATGGAGCAAAAATACTTCGGCCACCGTCCGGCAGAAGCAAAAAATTTGCCTCTGCTTCGAACAGCGCCGCTGTCTAGCGTCCATTTTTTTTCAGACAAATTTCCATTGATTTATTTAGCTGAAAGACCTGGTTTTTACCTCTAATTCAATGAGAAGTGCTGTTCATTGTCTGTGTAAACAGCAGTTACAATAGTTCCAAATCTAATGTAAGGCACCACCAGTTCAATGGCAACAGGCCAATCACCATTTTCTGGATCTGAATCGCAACACAAACCATGCTGGGCACAGCTAAAAATTTTTTATTTATTATCAAGCTTTGACAATATCTTGTGTATTAGTGATAAAATAAATTGACTATGATGGTAAATTTTTAATTGCCTAATGTATAATTCACTATTTACCCCCTCTTCCTCCGCTCCACAACATTATTTCTAAACACCAAGATGTAGGTTCAGTCGTCCCAAGGGGCTCCACCAGAGATCTTTTTTCTGAAAAAGATTCCATGAGTCAAAATATTTGGGAAATGCTGCACCAGAGGAAAGGGCACATAACTTGATTTTGTATTTCAGTTTTTCAATTTTCATCTGTCTGGCAGTTATAATGGTCATGGCATATTATTGAAAGTCATTGAAGAACAAGAAAATGTTTTTTTTATACTGGCAACTGCCACAGCTCTTATTGTTGACAGTCCCTTGTGTGCTTTAATGATGAGATGCTCAACATTTTAAAGGAAAAACTGTTGTTATATTTAACTCACTAGCATTGCCTAGCTGAACTGGCATCACAATAGACAAGACAATGCCTCAAAATAAACATATCATAATCAATGCCTTACAATATGCATGCCATAATCTGTGTGATTGCTAAGGAGGTTTTGTGGTATTGACCAACCCTTTTGAGGCATTACACTAGTCTGTGATATAATCAAGTTCTAACTGCATTACAGTTAATTTATTTATGTTTAATTACTTTTGATGCATTAGAATATCATTGTGAATGATGCCATCATTTACCTCCCATTGGTCTCTTGCTCTATGATTCTCCGTTTTCCAACACAATTAAAGGTAAAAGGTGAAGTCGGGAGATGTGAACCAGTGTCATTGCACACAGTTATAAACCATAAGTGCTCAGCCACCAGTGCGGACAGTTGATAAGAAACTGTCCACTTGTGTCGACGTCCGCACGTAACTCCGCAGCTACAACGACGTTCCTCCATTTACCCCGGAGTGTCAACTCTGGTACCCATTTCCTAGAGGCTGAGTAAACCCTGAGAACTGCCTGTTTTCGAACAGGGGCTGTGGGCTGCAGCGAGTCGCAGCTGGATTTAAAAGCGAGTCTCCTATCATCTGCCCTAAAGTGGCCCCTTAATTAATGCTGACGGTCTGTTTTATGGCTGTTGGATATGTTTGAATTTCTATGTTGGAAAGTATACATTTGAGTAATCAACATGATATTTATTATCTTATTATGTATTATGTCATTATTTTTATAACAACAAACTGCTTTCATGTCATTTTCTCTAGCCTGACTTTTTTCCTTACAGAGTATCAAGTCAGATTTTACCTCAATATCGGAGATCACGAGATCACAGAAACTCTAGTTGCCATCAACCGCATAGACCAAGGGGAATGGCATATGATCAAAATTGAACATGATCCCTACAATGTCAGATTTACTCTAGACTCTACAAAGGCAATGGTAGCGTTACCTAAGAATTTGCACAGTATTGCAGATTTTAGTGGCATCTTATATCTTGGGGGTGTTGCTGCCAGGTAATATTTGAATTCAGACTTGAAGTTTCAAAAATAATGATTTTATGCTGCCATTTTTTATTGTTTTTTAATTCATAACTTAAAACATTTGCAAAAAATCTGCACAGCTTATGCAAATAAAAAGAGTCAATATATCTTAGTTGCATTTTCAGACTAAGATCTCAAATTCTTAATGTGTGGACAAAGGAGACCCAAACATTTCTTAAATAGGTACATTTTAAATATTACATGTAAATAACAATGTCTGTTTGTAAGTTCTGCATTGGTAATGGGATAAAACATGATTTAGGGTGATGGAGTCCTCTTTATTTCCCAGTAATTTATCCCAGCTGGATCAGTCAGATGGCTGATCTAAAGCATTAACTTCAAACCTGGGACAGTTATTAGAAACATGTTTAACATCTTAGGGATTACAACAGTGCTAAGTCAAATTTACTTGAAGTTTTAAACAGATAACCTACTTTCTTTAAATTGGTTTTGATAATGGATTCATACATGACTCTCATCAATCAATCAGGTGCCATCTTCACAATGAGGAGCTGCTATGTATCTTTAGTTTGCTCCCAGACACTATGATGAGACTGAAGGAAATAATTGAAGAGGGGGTGGGGAGAGAGAGAGACTGTAGGATAAAAGAAGCAAAGACAGTTTTTACTTAACATGCCAATATTACCCATGCACACGCACACTGAGACACACACACACAAATTTACAAAATAGCATTAAAAAGGATGTTGCCATATTTTAATAAATCCAAATTATATGCTGTACATTATATATTTTCTTTGTCTTCTTTGCCTTTACCAGCTGTAAACTCTGGCAGAAAGTTCTGGTTGTTCATCCACTTCTGGACTGCAGTCCTGCCCAGAACCTGAGTGTTGTGTGTGCATCCGTTTTACAAATCTGACTCATTTGTATGCAAACTGCTGGTTCCTTGCCTCTCAGGCAGATGCACTTCGACCTTGAAGGAAGCTGCCAATTAGTCAACTGTAAGATATTCTTTTGGGTAGGCAGTAGGCCTATTCTTGTTTTCCCTATAATAGGGCCCTAGAACCCACACATGACGACACATTATATGTCACTGGGGGATTTATTCAGTTAAAAACCTGCCTGTTCATCCCTTAGCTGTTTATAAATGACCTCCAGTTCTTCATGGTTAATATTTTCTAAGATAAAGATGATTAATATATAGTTAATTTGAGAAATTCACAAGAACAAATATAATTCACAGCAGTACAAGAGAGTTGTAATTTTGGGGGGAGTTCAGCACATGGGGCAAGAATGTCTGGAGAAAGTTGTGATAACCCAGAAAAATTAGGTATTGAAGACAGCGGTTTCTCACATTTAATATGACTGACGTATTCACTGTATATTAGATGGCAAATTGTATTGTGTCATCCTCTTAATTATAGTTTAGTACTTTTTAGTTATTGTTTAGCATTTGCCATAGCATAATTAATTCTATTTAGCTAAAACACTTTGTCATATTATAATCTTTTTTTTCCTATAAAAGCAATGTATTTTACTGTAATCCATTTTGTCTATTAAAAGGCATTTTTGTGCATTCCTCCATACACTAGAATATCCAATGCTGGAGTCCAGGACACAGAAGGGTTCACTGGTTGTTTTTATGGACTTGTGTACAATCAGCAATCTGTAGATCTCACTCAGTTCATAGATGGCAGGTAAGTCTGCTGAACAAATCATGCATGTTGATTCTGTCATAACCATTTACATTCTAGTGCACATCATACATGAGCATTTATAGCTGACTCAGATATTTTAGTTAATCTACACAGAGAGCAGGAGCTGGTGCTGCAATTATATCAGAGCAAACTTGCTGTAAGTAAAAGGTCATTGATCCTTATCTCACCAGTGGTATACTGGCATTGGCCGCTAGATTCTTAGTTGTATAGACCAGTCAGCACTAGAGTCGGATAGGTGATGTCATCAACATTGTTTATTTCATCTTCACTTGCCAGGATTATTTTTCCCAGTGAAAAGTGGGTTGACTTGAAATGCAAGGTGAATTATTTAAAATCTGCCCAGTGTAGATTCAAACTCAAGACCTTCGGGCCAGCAGTCAAGTGTTAGCTACTGCAGTACCCTGCTCCAACATTGTGTATACCTTTTAAAGGCCATGTGAAAGAAAAACTCATTCAGTATTAGATGAGTGTACCAGAGAAGCAGGCACACGCCACACGCAAGGAAAAGCTTGTCAGTTAAGAGACAGGTATGATTAGTTGTTGCATGCTGATAGAGTGTTTTAGAGGAGACTGAAGAATCTATGGACAGATTTAAAGTAACGTAAAATAAAGGGCCCTTTCCAAGCCTTTAGGTATTTTGGGCATATAGGTTAGTTAGTTATAGATCAGTCGACACTTGGTGGGTGGTGTGGTCAGCATCAGACTGGTCACCTTTACTTCCTAGGACTTTACCTGGTACCTACTCAAGGTTTGGTCGACCTGGGAGCCAGTGTCACTTAGGGGGGGGGGGGGGGAGTCTGGCTGCCTCAGGACCTGCACCTGCGATCTTTTGATCCACAGAAGAGCATCTAGCCACTACACCATAGCGGCTTCCACACATTTGAAGTATGAAGATGATGATCAGAACTGGATAAACAATTCTAAAATTGTTTACATTTTTTCCATCTGCTTACAAGAATTTGTATATGGTTATTGCTAAAAACAAAAGAAGCCCTGCAATTGGTTCACCACCTGCAAGAACCCAATATTAGTTGTTTTCATCATCCATTAAATTCTAATTCTAAATTAGAATTTTACTGAGCATAATGTTTCTTATCTTGACCTAAAATTTATCCTTGTCTCACAGTTTTGCTTGTTGCCTGTTCCTTTTATCATTCTCAGATGACACTGGTTTTTTTTTTTTTTTTTTTTTTTTTTTTTTTTTTTTTTTTTTTTTTTTTTTTTTTTTTTTTTTTGAACCATCTATTTATATAATTCTAAAAAAATTTATTTTTTCCATAATTCTTGTATACTTCTTGTAAACAGCACTTCAGGTTACATCATGTGCAATTATTTTTTAATTTTTTTTTTTTTAATTTTGAGTTGTCATTTTTAAAAAGAAATCATGTGTAGTTGTTGTTATAATTCTAAATTTCCAGCACAAATGGAGTGTCAGCAAACTGTATGTCATCATGCTGGCCTAATCCATGTAAAAATGGAGGAGTGTGCCAGGAAAACTGGATGCACTACAGCTGTTTGTGCAGAGATCCCTGGGCTCATACAGGAGATAACTGTGAGCTGGGTAAGTGTCTCTACTCTGACAGTGTCAACAGTGTCACAATTCTATTTATAATACTGAGTAATCCTCCAGTCTAGGAAACTACCAGAATTGCAAACACTGCTGACACAACTCAGCCTTCAGCGAAGAGTCGTAATGCAGTGGATACCATCTTATTGTGGAGTGCCTGAAAACAAAAAAGCTGATCAACTGGCAGGGGAAGGTGTGACAAAACTGCAGCCGGATGTACCAGTCACATACCACCAAAATAAAAGAATCATTAAATCGATCAGGAAACCACCAGCCCCAGCACAAGATGACTATTTTATTATGGACAGATCAGAACAAGTCATTATCCTCCGCCTCAGAACAGGGTACAACCGATTACATTACCATTTGTACACAAAATTCAAGATAGGTGTATCAGCCATGTGCACATGTGGAAAGGTGCCCCAGACAGCAGAGCATGTACCCCAGGACTGCACCAAATTTGACACATCAAGGCTAACCTTTTGGCCAGAAAGAACAACAGTGGAACGTAAACTCTATGGACCACTGAATGAACTAACAAGGACAGTGAAATTTATACAAGAGACAAAATTGCTGATTTAGACAACTTATTTCAGGCGAACGAAAGAAGAAGAAGAAGAAATGAGTAATCCTATTCATCTTTCACAGTTTACATGTTTAGGGATCTGATACTTTTTCATAATAGCATCATTATCAATTGCCATGCCAACTAGCATGTGCAGTCATGCCTCTCCATAACATTCGATCTCCAACATCATGTATCAGTTCCTGTGTGGACACCCATCCATACAATCAGAAAAGGCTGTCAAGAATCTTCTCACATTGTCATCTTCTGTCTCTCGTTCCACAAATCTTCCCACTGATCACAGAATGTTCCTGTTTCTGTCTTCTCCTAACATGGCCAAATTTAATGACTGCCTCTTTCTGATGTGTGTGATGTGTTGTCTTTGGGCCTTCACCTCTTTAAAAACTCATTCTGGATTTGTAAGCATTTTCTGTTGCACCACATCTTTGAGGCCTCAAGAAATTGCATGGCTTGTTTATTACTTGTCCATGCTATGAATTGTTTATAATTTGTCCAGGCTTGATAGCCTCAAGTTAAAATCGGCTGTATATAGCATGCCAAAATTGTTTTTTTTTCTTCTAACCTCCCATTTAAGGGATATATTGCATACAGTGGTCTTCAATTAAAAAATTCTGTTAAAAATCAAATTAAAAAAAAAAAATCATTGGTTAAATCTCTATGACGCATCTACCGTTGGATGTTATATATATGCCTAGATACTTACACTTCTGTACTTGTCCCAAAATAATGACATTTTATAATATATTTAAAAAATTACAAAATAAAATAAATTTAAAATATGTTATATCTTTTATACATATTTTTTATATTTATCTATGTTAATATATTTTTTGCCGTCACTGTATTCGTTTATTGTCTGTCACTTTTTAAAGAATACATTAGCCTACTGAGGCATGTGTGCGTTGTCATCATCATCATCCACTGTAATCTCCGCAGTGAAAGTTGGAAGTATTTGATCTCTAGCAATTATGCTCTGAGTCTATATTTACATTTGCTAGACTGTCTCCTATATGTTCATGTTGTCTGTCCATTTTTAGTTGTGTGCCCTTTTAGCAGAATTGCCAATTTAAGTATATTAGTGGTGTATACGTGTAACCATCATTAGGCATTGAATTAGAATTTACTAGAATTAGTAAAATAACAAATACCAGTGGAAATTAACCAGATAAAATTCAGCAGAGATTCAAATATGAGCAAAGAAATAATGTGTATAACATTCTTTCAAGAAGCACCTTACCAAAGAATTATAAATAATGCAAGTTACCTCTTTTAAAAGGCTAGGACAAATTAAAAGCCAATATACATTATTGTGTGGTCATATCTTCAAAATGGAAAAGAAAATATTTGAGTTGTGTGGTGGATCAGTATATACTTTTCTTTAGAAATTATTCTGTAGGTTTTTAGTCATTTTATTGTAAACCAAAAATGCATTTTCTTTTCAGACCTGAACAAAGATGCTGTCACCTTTAGTGGACTACCATCATCATTTCTCTTTTTTGACATCTCAAGTTTCCCGAATGTCCTTGATGATACTATCGTTCTAAGTTTCCGCACATTAATTACTGAAACTCAGTTGCTTTTGTACATCCATGATCACATGGGCAACTTTGTACAGTTAGAGCTCACTGATTCTTACACCATCACCATCAGCTACAACAGTTTTAATCAGATTATCGAGGACTCTCTGAAGATTAATGGTAAGTATTAAACTTCTGAATGTACTGAAAATTCTTAGAAATAACATAATTTATTTGTTTAATAAATAACTTGCAGTAACTTAATTAAAATGTTATAGTTCAGGGTTCTTACAGACATAAGGATCCATTATGTAAGTTTAGTCATAAAGTTGAAAATAGATCAGTTTATCAATCAGGTGACATCTTAACAACATTCTGTTTTTCATCTTGGTGGTACACTCTAACATACTGCTGTCTGTACATTTTTTATTTTTTCCTCCACTAGTATCACTGTCCGCCTCTTGCTCTCTTGCCTTTTCCTTCAATAAGGTTTTTAAAAGATTTTAATGTCTTTAAGTGTTGGCTTCAATATTTAACTTATTTCTTTTTTCAGTCAGCAACTCAAATATAAATAAATCATTGAAGTGAGACTGTTAAAGTTGGTCACTGGTCTCATTTCACTGAATATTCAAATTTATTTTAATTAGTCACTTATTTAAGCTGATAGGCTTGCAGGTAAAACTACTACTGTGGAAGGCAGACCAAGAAATTATTCTGAATGCTCTACAAGAAGTAAGACATTTGTGAGAACCAAGTGATGTGATGACTGTGAATCTGCAACCATGACCAGACTGCAAGAACAACATGCTAATGGGGGTGTGGTCAGGCAAGAGCACTATGCAGGAAGCCAAGAAAGAATAAGAAACCAACAGAACTGATGACGACACAATTACATCCTGGGAGGGGATCCAGTCACTTTTGGACTGAATGGTTCGATGTGCAATGAGGATAATTTATGGGCTAACTGACTAACTTAGTTATGTACAGCTAACAAAAGGAGCCATAGAGTATGATTGGACCTGCACATCACATTTATAGACCATAAAAAAGCATTTGATATAGTCTATCTGAAATTAAGAGCACTGGCATTAGAGCATACATACATCGTTCAGGCATCTGAATTAAAATATCTTGGAACAACATTCACTGAAGATGGTAAAATAGATGAAGAAATTGACATCTGATGCAGTAAAGCTGGCGAAGTATTGGGACAGCTAGCTCCCCTCTTACAGCATAAGGCAATCCCAATCAACACAAAGAGACAATCATACAAAACATATTAATTCTCATCCTATAATATCAGTGCCAGACGTGGTCACTCACAACAAAACATTAAAGAAAAATTAGTAACCATGGAAATGGGGTGTCTGAGAAACGCTGTAGGAGTGACCAGAAGAGATAATATCAGGAATGAGGTCATATCAGATAAAGTTGGCACAGAACCTATTCTAAATTACATAGAAAGACAGGAAATCAAATGATGTGCCAACTTGAAGAGAATGCTATACCATTCAAGGAAATACCAAAAGAGAAGAGGGACGAGGACAAGAGGTAGACCAAGAACAAGATGGAAGGATAACATCAGAGAAACTGTACAGTACCACGATGTGTCTTTAGTCGAAGCAGCCAGAAAAGCAAGAAGCAGGACCGTATATCTTCTTCGACACCCGAAGCGGTAAAAGAGGATGTAAAGAAGAAGAAGATATAAATATGTAAACATCTTATTGTAGTTTATAAGAGTTTATATTTTTTAGTAAAAGCTGCAAAGAAATGTTCACTTCAGAAGGAAGAATGGATGCAGAAATGTGGAAAGGCAGATCAGTGGAACAACTAATTTCATATGGACTCATAAAAATAGACTTTTGTCTACCAAGTCAAATCTAATAACTATTTTGGCCAACTTTATGTTGCCAGTGTCAAACATAGACCTTTGTTACAAAAAATAAGTGCAAAATCATAACATAGTTGAGATCTTTTATAAGAGTGACTGGAGTAACAAAAAGAGATAAATTTTCTAATGAATGAAGAAATCAGAAGGTAGGATTGAAAGCAAGTTATACACTTCATTAACCCTGTTTCCCCAAGAAAGCCTGTTTTCCCACTGAACTGGATGTTTTATAACATGACAACTTTGGGCAGTGGCCAGTACTCCTATTTAGCAGTGCTGGTACTGGTTACAAATTCATAATGTGTAGACATAGAGAATAGAGGTTTAATTATACATTTTTTTTAATGTTGGGGATGGGGCGGGGGGGGGGGGGGGGGGTAAATATATTATTTGCTGTGAAAAAAATAATCAAATTTTGTTTGGGTCATTGTGACATTATACTTAACTTATGATGACCTAACATTGTTCTCTGAGGCCGTGTCAGTAAAACCCCCTATTTTCTTGGTTAAAGGGAAGGAAAGCAGTTATGGATGTGCTACATTTATATTTAGTGATTTAAAGGTAGTTGCATATCTTTTACAGTATGTTGTAGAACCAACTCCAGCATTCTTTGGCTGTTGTTGTATTTCTAGGCATATTTTACCTTCACTAGTTTGCCATTGCTTTCTGAACTGTTTGCTCTCGATACCACTGATGAAATCAACGCAAGGTGGAAAATTGTCTGCAGCTGGGATCAAAACCAGCACTCGCCATTACGCAGCGATATTGCAATGCCTAAGCCGCGAGTGCTGATTGAGTGATTACTTCAAATAATAAAAAGGTCACCTTTGCACACAAAAACAGTGTGTTTCTTTTTAATGAGACTTTGAAAAGTGTCCTTTTTCAAAGATATTTGCTGGGAGAAAAGATTAAAAAGCAAAGAGAAGAGCGTTCGGCCATCTGGTGAGAATACACAAGTAGCAACCAGTGATTCAACACCAAGAAAACATTGGAATGATCTTAACCATCACACCGCCTCCCCCCCCCCCCCCCACATTTTCCCAGCCTGTGTTTGCGAAAGGGGGGGAGGGCAAGCAAGGAGCTTAATTCTGGTTTAAAGGCATCAAAGAAAAAAAAAATGGAAGGTAATGCACTTGCAAGTGTTATATTTTGTGCACTCAAGTGTAATGTACATAGCTGTATTCGCTATGCTTCTTTTTCTCTATCTTCATAAGGTGCATAAGGCTTAAAGGTCAGGATCAAGAAGCAATATTCAGTCCCTGAGTTGACTAGACCCTAGACCCTAGACTCAGAAGTAGAGTTTGCAGTAGCCATTTCCTCATTGCAGCCATGTCCCTTCTAGCTTTCATTAATAGTCTATCTGTGTGCTCAGTTTAGGCAAGGCTTCAGTCACAGTGCACTCCGTACGTAATTCAGTAAACACAGTCAATGTCACCACTGTTGAGCACAAACTTACACTTAGAGTAACAGTAAGTAATTCAGTAAACACAGTCAATGTCACCACTGTTGAGCACAAACTTACACTTAGAGTAACAGTAAGTAATTCAGTAAACACAGTCAATGTCACCACTGTTGAGCACAAACTTACACTTAGAGTAACAGTAAGTAATTCAGTAAGCACAGTCAATGTCACCACTGTTGAGCACAAACTTACACTTAGAGTAACAGTAAGTAATTCAGTAAACACAGTCAATGTCACCACTGTTGAGCACAAACTGACACATAGAGTAACAGTAAGTAATTCAGTAAGCACAGTCAATGTCACCACTGTTGAGCACAAACTTACACTTAGAGCAACAGTAAGTAAATGAGCTTGTCCACACATGTGGATATTGGTTATACTGGAATTAAAGAAGTAAAGGTTCCGTTTTTTTAGCTTTTGCATATCATCATCATCATCATGAACCACTTCTGCCGTTAAGCGTCGTGGGGAGGAATAATTTGCGATTCAGTGCACGTTGGCTGCCACTGGCTATTGTCATGCGTGAAGGTGTAGAGTGTCTTTAATGTTGTTGATCCATGTTTTCCGCGGCCGTCCTCTTGCTCTTGTAGTTGATCTTCTGAGATGTAGTGCTTGTGATGGTATTTGATCTTGCTGCATTCTAACGAGATAGCCAAACCACTTGATCTGCTTTTTCTCGATGAATCTAGTACAAGGTGTTGTTCCCACAATTTGCCTGATAGTTTCATTATTCACTCGATCTCGGATGGTTAGGTTGGCTGCTTTTCTCAGGCACCTCATCTCGCAGGTGGTAATTTTGTGTATATGGGCTTTAGATAGTGTCCATGTTTGGCACTGGTAGCTTAATGTTGAAATAAATATGCTATTAATAATCTGCATCTTTGCACCCATAGTTATGCTTGGATGTCTTAATAATGGTGACAATTGGTAAATAAGTGCACTTGCTTTCTGACATCTTTCTGGCATATTAGGTATATGGTGTTAATCCCATATTTCTGTTGAGCTTTGATCAGTTCTCTATGGGTGATATGGTGAATATATCAAGCTAGCCTTTATTTCCGAGGACTTTTCCTGATACACATCGTTAGACTGGGGCATCTGGAAGCCTAGATCTTTTTCTTCTTTTTCAGCATTCTGAGCCCTTGAGGTTCATTGCTGCCGATATCACACACCTCCATTCATCTCTCTGGTGTGCTCTTTCTGGGAGCCTAGTTCAGTTTTTAAAAAAAATATCTTTCTTCATGGGGACTTGAACTTAAGGAGACAGGAATGATAAGAAAGTATGTTAGCCACTGTACTGTCATAGCTCCTCATCTGTGCCTACATAACATTTGAAATACTTAACTAGTGTCAATAGTTATGTTTTAAATAACAATGGTTTATTCAACTTTCCAGAAACACTGAATGATGGTGAATGGAAACAAGTTGTTGTGGAAAATAATAATGCCTATACAAGACTCATGGTGCAAGGCCAGTCTAAAGTCATTGAAGTTAGAAGAGGAAACATTCAGATGTACTCTCTGAATCCATATAGAAACACAGAGCAGCGTAAGTTTTTGTTTTTATAGAAATTTAGTTTATTTGTCATGTAAAGTGATGGTCTGTTTTATTCACTCTGCCATCCTAAGTTTTTCACCAGTCAGGTTCCCACAGTATGTGCTTGTGCATGTGAACATGCATGACTGTGCGTGTATATGCATTAGCATTTGTGTGTGTTCAATTGTACCTCTACTTCTCGTTTGTAAATTCTCACTGTCAATATTCAAAATATCAGCAACTAGAAAATAGCAGTTCTCTTGAAGTCCTGCAACCTGCAGGGTAGTTTTTCTGGAACATGCCTGGGAAAGAAAGGTGATCACAAAAGCAGTTGGTTAACCCACCCACTATATCATGGCATGGAATATATGAAGACCTAACATGACACATTCCATTGACAGTTTTTGCTGCAGAACTACCTTGACTTTCTTTCAGTACTAAATAAAAAAGTATCATTGATTTAGGAAGTCCATCACAAAACAAAACAAACAAGTATTTCTTTTTTTTTTTTTTTTTTGTAAAACTGCATTTTTGTTTTGAAGATTCATATAGGATGAATGGATTAACAGCAGTCTTTAGGACAGATTGACCTGATGACGAATTATGATAGTAAAAATTACCAGTAACATTTCTGAAAGTGTGTTTTAAATTGTTTATAGTTGGCTTTTTTTTCTAATTAGAAAATATTACTTATGTTCTGCTCTTTTTAAATCCTTATGTGTGTGTGCATGTGTGTGTATCCGTGTGTGTGTGTGTATGTGTGCATGTGTATGTATGTGTGCATGTGTATGTGTGTGTGCACACATGTATGCATGCGTATGTGTGGTGGGTGGGGGTGGTGGTGGGGTGGGGTGGGTGGGGGGTTTCTTTAGGCAGCACTGTGCAGTCTTTTTTGTGCAGCTTTGTTCAGATTTAGTCTGTATTCATTCAATGTTCTCCTTCTCCGCTCTTCCATTGCCTCTCAGTACCAGCCTAGCCCGTTCACCCCAAAAAGCTGAAACACCTACACTTCCGCTAGGTAAGGATATGAATACCTTAACTAACAATAGCATTTAGAGTGGTTTTCCTTAGTGCTAAACGGCCATTTCAAAGCCAAGGTGACTTGCGATTCTCTTCTAAGCCTCATTGATGGAGCTCATAGGGTCATGACATGAGTCATCCATAGATGTGTGCCCCAGAGGATGTATTCCATTTAATGTTTTACTCTGTTGGTCTTCATAGGTTACTACTTTAAAAATGTTTTGAAAAATAATTTTTAAATGTAGAAAAATTCCTGTGTGAAAGATGTTGCAGATTTTTTTTTTTTTGCAGTTCTAACAACATTCTCATATTTTGTTTTAGTGATCCAGAAAGGTTAAAGAGTTAGAGATAGACATTAGATGAGAGCTGGAGTTTGCTTTATCAGTGATGGGATTCATAGTCTTGGATATCACATCAGTCACTTGTCATCTCTTCTGTTTTTATTTGTTTTTTTTCAGTTTTTCTGTTCGCTTACAATTCACAACTCATGGGGAGGAAAAGGAGGGCACACTATCTTGCACTGTCTGTGACAGAATCGTACTGTAAATTTCCAATTTTTGTTCTTCTTTTCAGAATCAGTATTTGTAGCACGGCCATCCCTGATGCCTGAACCTTTTATCCATGCCTATGTGGGTGGAGTAGAGGAAGAATCAACTTCTATAGCTCAGTTAATTGGTTGCATGAGAGGCATGCGTATTGGAAGTTATATATTTAATCTTACAGAAGCCACCATTACTTTGGATAATAATACATGTAAGTTTGTGAATGTAATAGAATATGTGTGCTTATTTATCAGTTTCCCCATGTGGGTTCCGGAGCTCCATTTTAAAGAACAAAAAATAGACCCACTGCTCAACTAACAAGCGTCTTGTAGGAAGTCATTAATTATGGGTGTGTTTCCTTCAAAGTTGGAGGGCATCCGCCTGAGGCGCAAGGAACCAACAGTCTGCGTACCAACAAAATCAGATTTATAAAGCAGATGTGCACACACACAAAATCAATTAAAGTTCTGGATCAAGACTTAAGTTTAGAAATAGAACAACCAGGAATTAGACTAACAAAAATTCCGAAGCTTAACAATTGTTTAACATAAACTTACACTTTGATTTGAATTTTGTTCATCATATTGAATAGAGAACAAATTTCAAAAATAAAATATTTCATAATATTGTTGAACATCATGATCATGTGGCTGTACACTGATGCAAAAAAAAAAAGGCAACCAGAATCTTTTTTCTGACACCAAGAAAACATTTTTTTTTTTTGGAAATAATCCTGGATAGTAGAATACAGTTTTACAAACTCATTAGCTTTTTGCTATTTTGCAAAAAGCACTTTTGATACAGTATAACTAAACTGTCAAACTAAAAAAGCCACAAAAACAATCTTTTCCTAAAATGTGCATTGCAGGAATCACAAACCAGTAAATGTCGAGGATTGCATTTTAAAAGGATTTTCATTGTAAACTAATCCCAGAGCCATAATTTACACAATCTACAACAACAGACACAACTAACAATAGACATCTGAAACACATATATGAAACAGTTGACACAAACTTATGTAACATAAGACATCTACCCTGACTGCCATGTCACTGCTGTAAGTGAAACATCATCTTCCAGTTTCATCAATGTTTTTTATGGCAGTGTGTAAGAATTAAACAGAATCACAGTCATCAAACTGTTCAGAAATATCATCATGTTCACTTTCCAATTTCAAGAAATCAAGAAAATATCCAAAATCATCAGAACTATTCAACAAACTGTTCCATCATGCCAGCTCTAATCATCAGCCGCCATTATCAAAACATCTTCCTAGATTGGCATGCTGTGTTTCGGAGGTCATAAATGAGGAGCATTATCTTTATCTTTTCCCTGGGGCAGGCCAGTGTGTTGGGAAATGAACAGGCAGACAGACTGGCTAGCTCTGCACAACTTGGTAGAATATTGATGCATGATAAGACAGACATGGTTAGTGCCTTGTGGGAGAGTGTGTACAGTTCGGAGGAGCAAATGGATCACCAGCCTGATGAGAGTGATGAAGTGAGGAGTGACGAAGGGGTTTGGCCAATACTCGACCCACAGAGGAAAAGCAAGATTGACGTATAATCAGAATTCTACTTCTACCATTCTTAATGGAACATTGTGCTGGCTGCTGAAGATGGGGACAGAGCACTTAAGGGAATGCCCTGAGTGCCTTGGTGTCAGTTCTTGAATCAACTCATCATCATGGGAGCTTACCAAACAAATGCATTTAAAATTTACTTTAAGCATTACTGAATTGAGATCCTTCAAGAACCAAGAGAAATAAAAAGGACTGATGGCTTCATTCAAAACTGAAAAAATCACCATTTTAACATGGCAGCTAACATGCAAAGTTGGCATACTGTCGTCATTTTCTTCTCATCTTGATCATGCTTTCTGTATTTGGTTTTTAAAACATTGGATGTATTTCAGCAAGTCTAAAATAAGATTCGTTTTCAGAAATGTTAAATTACTCCTGGCCTATGACTGAAGAAATTTATTAGCAACTGGTGGCCATGTTGTCAATCAAACCCTTAGTGCAGTTGTATTTATTTATAGCCCCCATGTTTTCCCTAACTGGTAATTGTTAGTTTAATTGTTAGAATCTGAAAGACATTGTACTTTTAACATAATTTAGCAAGGAAAAAAAAAACAGTTAACATCATGTGAACAGGAACTCTTTGTGAACTATGTTAGAAATGACTATCATCTGATTCAGTGAGGCTCTGTAATGTTACACTTATCAAAGATGCATTAAGATGCCTTTCACCATTTTTCTGCTTATGTATTTATATTTCCCTTGTATACACACACACACACACACACATATGCCCGTACACACCCACTCACATATATATCACAATCAGTCAGTTACCCAAGGCATTAAAAAAGAAAAGACAGTAACATAAACAGAGTACACAGAGTTAGGAAATAACTGCTTCAGTAGAATTTATTTGTGTTGTGTACATCAGTGGTGGTCTTAGCTTGTGATAAAGGTTGCCATGAAAACAGCTGCTACAACCACGGATTCTGTGTGGAGAAATGGAAGAACAGGCAGTTTGAATGTGACTGCACACAAAATGGCTTTTCAGGTCACCGATGTGAAATTGGTATGTTAATAATGTTTCATTTTTTATTAAACTTAGTTAATTAATGAAAACTGACAACTATAAAAGGTTGAACTGAGAACTGTCATGAGGGCAGTTATAAAAAAACAAACAATTGTCACTTAAACGTTTTTGTTTTTTGTACCAGCATGAGGGGCATAAGAATCTGTAGTAAAGCATTTCCAGTGGTTAAAGGTTAATAACCTATTGTGGCAGATGCCTGAAAAAAACTGTTAGACATTTGGGTGCCAGTTGGTCCCCTAAAATATAAGGCTTTCACTGTATGCCTCAGTGTGTGGGAACGTGTCTTTCACTTATTTGTAACTAGCTAAAGCAAAGCAAAGGACCTATTTATTCCTGTGGTGCAGCAGGCATCTTACGCTAGACTTATATTTGTCAAACAGTGAAGACCATGCTAGCCCCCGGACTCCGATTCTTGCCCAACGTCCAGTCTGGCTCTGTACATGCGGAAAAAGCTTCACGGGGTTGCATGGTCTGAGAACGCATGCCGGAAGGATGAAATGCAAGGGTGCTCCACGCAGTAAACGCCATCGCAAACCTACTACTCCTGTGGTAGTTTCTGAGTCATTAGGGAACAACGGGCAGGGTATACCCCACTCGCCTGGAGAGGCCCATGGCATTGACTGCGGAGGCGCACCTTTAATGATTCCTGAGGAAGTGCGTTTGAAGATCAGATTCCCACCTGCGAGAGATAAGGTGTTGTGGTGTAAGTTAGAAGGTACATTATGTGAGAAACTAAATCATGATTTTAAAAAGAAGTCGCTGGGTGATAAGCTTATAAGGTTTGGTAATGTAATATACGAGCACTGTTCCCGTGAGTTCGGGACAGTCGAAACGGCGCCTCCGGGCGTCAAGCAGAATATAAGCAGGAGACAGAGGGACATTCTGAAGTGCCGGGCAGACAAAAACGCAATCAGAAAACCGTTCAAAGCCGCTACAGGCAGCAAACGGGAGGGGCTGCATGAAGTCTGGTTGCATCTAAAGAACAGACACAGTGCCCTCTGTCACACTGAGCGTTTCTGTAATAACAGAAGGAGAACCAAAAGGGAGCGAATAGTTCCAGTGGCACTTTCTTATAAAACTGAATGTATTGTCTTCTCAGTCTCTTGTCTTATTTGTGTATTGGATCTGAAATCTGTCTAGTGCAGATTTAGTATTGATCATATTAGTGCCAAGAACTTATTTGCTTCAAATGCCATTAATCCATTCTGTCACTCTTTCGTCTTGTTTAGTGCCCCAGTCTTCATGTACATTTCTCTGTAGGATTCCTTCTACTTCACACATCTAGCTTAGCCAGTCAACTAAGACACTACCAGTATCAACCATTATACACCCAATCATTCTTCTTCTTCTTCTTCTTTCGTTTGCTTGAAATAGATTATATCTATATCTGCAATGTTGTCTCTAGGATAAAATTCACTGTCTTTTGTAATTCACTCAGCTACCCATAAAGTTTGAATTGCTTAGATGTTTCTCTTGGCCCATTGATCATAAAGTCATGAACTACGTAAAGAGATCAGAACTACATAAGACAATGTGTTTTATCTTTTAGGATACATCACCTGTCAGAAATGGTAAAGTGCATTAACAGGAGTCAATTTTTGTATGTCTAGAGCCATCAGTCAGGGTGGCAGGAAATACAGTGGTGCAGCATAACTTCACACTACCTGTTGTCGACCAGTACAGTCTGAGTGAGAGGCTTTTATTCCACTTTAAGTCTGATCTGAAGCCATACAGCAGCAAGCACACCATACTTGTCTTTGTGACTAGCTCGCAGTAAGTCTCATTAGTCAAGTCAAGTCAAGGTGTACACGCCAATGGCTAGACTCATATTTTAACAGACCCTCAATGGGTAATGTAGCCAATATCACAGCAGCCACCTTTACTTCCCAGGACTTTATCTAGTACACATTTAAGGCTGGGTTGACCTAGAGGCCAAAATCTTTTTTTGTTTTTAAATCTGAACCCACGACCTTCAAATCCACAGGTGAGAGTCTAGTCACTACACCAAAGCAGTTCTCCAGTTTTATTAAACTTAAGGACCCTTTTTCACCCATTAGGCTTACTGGGCATATAGGGCTAGACCTGTATTTTAAAGACCACTCGGCACTTGGTGGGTGATGTATTCAATATCACGCCAACTACCTTTACTTCCCAGTACTTATTTTGAACATGGTATCCATTTTAACCTGGGTCGACTGGGAGCCAAGGTCATTTGAAAAAAACATCCGACTTAATGTGGATTTACCTACAACCTTCGGGTCCAGTGCAAGTGTCTAGCTGCTACACTGTGCTGGCTTCCAAGTCTAATTACTGCAAGCAAAATACTTGCGTCATTTTTTTTAAAATTCTCTAGCAGTTAGAAATTTACAGTTATGTTATTTCACTTAATCCTAATGCATGTATCTTCATTGATTCAGTTATTTCAGTATCTTTCTTCTTCTTCTTCCTCTTCTTCTTTTTTTCTTCTTCTTCTTCTTCCTCTTCTTCTTCTTCTTCTTCTTTCTCCCTCAAAAGGGAATTATGTTGTGGTTTACAGCTAGTCTATATCTGCACCTTCTACCCAACACATTCCATGTCAGTAAATCCTTAATTAATTGCTTTTTTTGCAACATGCTTGTTAAGGAATGGTTGGTATATTCTTCATTCTTTTTTTTGGCCTAAAAAATGGGCCCCAGAACCCACTTAAGAGAAACTTTCTTTTTTCCCCATGACTGACCTGTCCTGAGATCTCATCATCCTATTATCAGTTATGTCTAATATTTAATAGTTTCATGATTTCTTCCTGACTCATACTGTCATCCATTTGAATATATGAATTCTAATATGTAACATGACTTTTCATTTTTTTGCATGTTATATTGAACCAGTTTTAAAATAAGACTCTGAATCTTGAACAGTTAGTACACAAGCAACACAAAATATCATGCCTCAAAGAGGTGATTTTACAGAAAAATTTGAAACATTTCATATGCAGCCAGAATGAGTTATCTGAATTGTTTTTAAAGAGATTACAACACAAAGGACAGCTGATTACAAATGAGAAAGAGACAGTCGTCTATTTTGGCCACATTATTTGAATAGATAGCCTTTTCTTTCTATGACACCATTTTGTCAAGGAACACAATGTCCGCGCACACACATTAAATTCATTGAGAAACAAAGACGGAAATGGTTCAGTCATCTGGTGAGAAGGAATTCTGCAATGCCAGCAGTGAGAGCTTACAATATGAGATTGAAAACACTAAGAGACAGAGAGAGATCTAAAATATTTTGGACTGAAGGAGTTACTGACTATCTAAAACTTCAGAACCTCACTACATACTGCATCATACTGGTGCAGGGGAAATGTTTTAAGATGAACTATCAAATTATTTATTCAGGTGGGCATAAACCTGAAAGGGGTGTCAGCATAATTTTGGACAAAGAAAGAGACCAGTAAAAGGATACTTGACTATATCAGAACGGGTACTATTAGTCAGATTAAGTGGTAAAATAGTAGATGTGAGTTTTATACAGATCTATGCACCAAAATTAGACAGTTCGGAGAAAGAGAGCAATGATTTCTATAAACAGCTAAACATAGCCATAACACAGTGAAAAACCAGGGAAACAACTGTAGTGCTAGGTGACTTTAATGCAAAGTTTGGGCAAGAAAAGGATGAAGACATTACAGGTGGATATGGTCTTGGCTAGAGAAATGAGAGAGGGGAAAACTGGTTGAATGGGCTACGACACATAAAATGACAGCTGGAAATACTCACTTTAAACAACATCCTAGACACCTGTGGACTTAGAAGAGTCTTGGAAATAATTTTTGGAACCAGATTGATTACATACTGATAAACAGTCGATTCAGAAACTTCTGCTTTCAATAAAACAAAAGACCAGGTGCATACTGGTGACCATATGCCAGTCATTGGAAAACTAAGATGAAGCTGAAGAAACTAAAAAGGGCTCCAAAAAATATCAAGCAAGATTTGGCAATGCTTGAATCAAATCAACAGATGTGTAAGAGATACACCATTACTGTTCAGAATAGATACAATGCTATTGAAAAGATAAGCAGGCTAGAGAAACAATGGCAAACGCTAAAAGAGTCATTACAACAGACATCAAAAGAGCTATTACCAGAAGTAAAGAAGACAGCAAAGAAAAAATGGATGACAGAGGAAATTTTACATCTGATGGAAACTAGAAGAAAAAAATAAACGCAACCAAGATGAATATAAAAGAATACATAGAGAGATTTTAGGTAAATGTAATGCAGCAAAAGAAATATGGCTGAATAATAAGTGCAAAGAAATTGAGAAACAAAGAGAAAACACACAAGACATGTATAAAAGAATACAAGAACTATCTGATTTTAGAAAATATACAACACATGGTTGCTTGAAAACAAAAGAAGGTGAAATATTAATGGACAAAGAGAAAGAAATTGCAAGATGGACAGAATATATAAAAGAGCTATACAATCTGGTAATCTGGTAATCCTAGTTATGATGATAACAGCAGACCAGACATAGAGTGTCTGAGAAGGACCACCAATACTGAAAGCAGAAGTAGAAGATGCTATAAACCAAATGAAGAAATTTAAATCTTCAGGGCCAGATAACATCACGAGTGAAGAATTAAAAGCTTGTGGTGAACTGGGTTTAGAAGTTTTGACAAAATTGTTCAGTGATATTTATAACAGTGGACATGTACCAGATGACCTTTTGAAATCTCTTTTCATACTTTTACCAAAAACACCTAGTGCAGTGGAATGTGGAAAACATCAAACAATTAGTTTAGTGAGTCATGCAACTAGAATATTATTGAGAATTATTATGAGAAGAGTAAGGTGCAAAATTAAAACAGAAATTGAAAAAGAGCAGTGTGGTTATGTTAAAGGTAAAGACACAAATAATACCATTTTTATCTTGAGAACACTTTCAGAAAGAATGGTTGACATGAATAGAGATATGTGTTTATGCTTTATTTATTACACTAAAGAATTTGATAAAGTGAAATACAAAGAAATTTTTAGAAGTTTGGAAACCTTAAACATTTATATGTAATGATCTAAGAATAATTAAAAACAATACATACATTGGCACCCAGAAGCAGCCATAAGTATTGATAACAAGGTTGGAACTTTTCAGAACATTAAACAAGGAGTTAGACAGGGATGTGTACTGTCACCCGATTTATTCAGTTTGTACAGTGAAATAATAATTAGATCCATGCATGGTATGCCAGGAATATTTTGGGGTGGTGGGCACATTGTTAACAATCTGCGATATGCTGACGATAGAGTTTTGATCGCTGAAAATGAAACACAACTGCAAAAAGGAATGGATATAATTGTAACAGAAAGTGAAAACAAGGGTCTTAGTTTGAACAGCAGAAAAACAGAAGTAATATTAATCACAAAGAAAACTGACCCTCCAAAGTGCAGCATCAAAGTAAATGGGACAAACCTCAAGCAAGTTAATATGTTTAAATACTTGGATACCCTGATAACATCAGATTAAGGATGTTGAATGTCAAATAACTCAAGCAAAGGCAGCATTTTACAAAATAACTTTATGCAATCTTTCTTTGTCAGTTAAGACAAGAATGAGAATTCTTAAAAGTTGAATAAATCCTATGTTGATATAAGGATGTGAATCACAGACAGCTAGTAAATTAGTGAAAACTTGTTTGGAAGCTGTGGAGATGTGGTTTTATCAATCAATAATGAGAATACACTGGACAGATAAAAAGAGTAATGAAGACATCTTGAAAGATATGTACTCACGAAGAGAACTCATTGCCCACATCAGAAAGAGACTATCTACATTCTTTGATCATGGGATGAGGAGGAGAAAACTGGAGTACATCGTGACGGTAGGAAAGTTGGAGGGAAGGAGAGGCACAGGGCGACTGAGAGAACAGATGATGGACAGTCTGACATCATGGCATGGAGGATCATCTGTGTCAGATCTGACTGAAAATACATGAGACAGAAGGTTGTGGATAAATATGTCTACCAATGCCACACAACATGGAATTTAAGAAGAAGATGCCGGTGTATTAGGAAATGAACAGGCAGGCAGACTGGCTGGTTCTGCACGACTTGGTAGGGAATTGATGCATGACAAGCTGGATGTTGCAAGAGCCCTTTGTGGCGAATGAACAGTGCAGAATCAGATAGATCACCATGGTTTGAAGAGAATGGTACTGCAAGGAGTGACCAGGGGATCTGGTCGATGATCAACACTCAAGGGAAAGGTGAGATGGATATACAGTCAGACTGGTATTGGTACCACTGAATTGGAACTCTGCACTTGCAGCTGAAGATGGGGACGAGCACTTATAGGAATGTCCCAGGTGCTGTGATGACGATTATTAATTAAACATTGAATCATTTAGTTTTTATAAACAATTCGTAAGATTGTTCTCTTCATCTGCCAGTTATTATTTTTGTCTCTTGTCTCATGCTGCTGATAGGTCAGGTGACTACATCTTAGTGAAACTTGATTCAACTGGCAATATGGTGCTCGAAACAAATCAAGGTTATGGAATATGTAAGTATTTTACAAGGTTGTAATACGAATAAGTGGTTATATGCTTTGTGTCTCTATAGTTTCAAATGTTAGCCTATTGTTATTATTGGTATTATATATAGTAAGGCTACCAGATTGTTTCACCTGTATTGTTTGCAACAACATAGCTTTTTTTTTTTTAAATTTATTGTAAACAGTTAATTTGATGGCAGGCATCCAAATACATTGTACTGTTTCTCTTACCAGCAACAATAATAATATTTTAATTGTTACCAATTCTGCTTGTGCAGTGCCAGTGTATTTTCCTCAAATGACTATGGGCTGTCTATACATGAGTCATTTAACTTTCTGAAACACATGCTGCTAGTTCTCATGTAAGTTTGCTCGCATTTCACAGAAAGTAAAGTTTATATTAGAAGCTGAAGCAGTTTGTAATGTTGGTGGGGAAAAAGACAAGATCACCTCCCATCTCGACACATAGTAAACAACAAATTGCAGTCAGTGATTAACATTGTAAGTAAATAAATGATAAATGGCATTACTGTGTTAGTTGCACATAGGGCCATATTTTAGCGATGTGTAATGTGTACAGCAGTACAGGACAGCAGAAATCTAAGAGTGTCAAAATATAACAAGTAGATTTTAAAAAATATCTATCTCCCAAATTTAGTCCTGGCTGCACTGTTATATGACTGTCTCTCTTGTAAGAAATTGTCATTTAAAACAAATTAATACTTAAGTAATTGGAGATAACACTGAAAAGAAATGTATACATTTATTTTAACGAAGGAAAGGGTGACATTGAATCTGACCGAAATATTCATATCTAGAAATGACTATTTTCAGACAGAATGAAGGTAGCTGGCAGCTTTGCTAATGGGAGACAACATGATGTTAGTTATACTCGTGATGGCTCCAGAATGGTTTTAAAAGTATGTATATTTTATGTTAATTATTATGCAAATGCTTTTACAAAATCCATCTCTCACAGCAGCTTGCCATTAGTAGACTCAATTTATGTTTTTTTTTAATTATTTTTACATACTTCTACTTGGTGAAACAATTCAGAAAGGAGCTCTCTTCATGTTTGCATTACTTTCACTAGAACAATGTATTATTGATGGTGTGGTCAGCATCAAGCAGGTTGCCTTTACTTTCCTGAATATTTCTCAGTGGTCAATTTACCCCAGGTTGTGCTGGAAATCCAGGTTATTTTTGTTTTACATTTTGTTGTTGTTGTTGTTGTTGTTGTTGTTGTTGTTGTTGTTGTTGTTGTTGAAAGAAACCTTACTTTCAGAATAGGCTGGTCCTAGAGATCCCTTTAATTTGCAGCCAGTAAAATTTGAGCTGATATCAACTGGGAGAAATCATTTAAAGAAATTATCAGTAAAGATCAGAAACTGATGGTTCAGATAGCATCCAAGCAGAAGCTTTTAACTCTTTCTTTGCCAGGCATGTGTAGTTTTAGTCATTTATATTTTAAACACTCCTTATGTTAATCCTTTCACTGCTAAAGATGTAATTTTACATCTGCCTTGTAGACTGCTAAAGACATAATTCTGCGTTTTCTGTGCCCTCACTGCTAAAGACATAATTCTACGTTTTCTGTGCCCTCACTGCTAAAGACATAATTCTACGTTTTCTGTGCCCTCACTGCTAAAGACATAATTCTACGTTTTCTGTGCCCTCACTGCTAAAGACATAATTCTACGTTTTCTGTGCCCTCACTGCTAAAGACATAATTCTACGTTTTCTGTGCCCTCACTGCTAAAGACATAATTCTACGTTTTCTGTGCCCTCACTGCTAAAGACATAATTCTACGTTTTCTGTGCCCTCACTGCTAAAGACATAATTCTACGTTTTCTGTGCCCTCACTGCTAAAGACATAATTCTGCGTTTTCTGTGCCCTCACTGCTAAAGACATAAAAACACGATTTTGACTTTTCTTACAGATTGAGGGGGGAAAAAGGGGGGGGGGGGGGGGTTGGTGGAGGGATTGCCAACAGTGTGAATAGTAATTCTTGATTCATGGCCCGGAGTGAAAGAAGAGCTAGGGTTCTCCTAGACCAGTTCTTCCAATACAAACCACCAACCCCATCCCCTAGTGAGAGTGAGGGGTCTGTAGATTTCTCTGTCAAGTTTGTGGGACAGTGGTACAGGCCAGGGAATGGTAAGAGCCTCAGATGCACTCAAGGCAGTGACACATAGCAATGGTTGAGACGATAATGAAATAGAAAAAAATGATGAATAAAAATTGTCTTATAATATTTACCTGCAAGGAATGTAAAGTGGTTGAAATATTCAAAGAATGTTCCTGCTAATGATCAGAAGGCTATTGTTGTGTTCTCTCCACAGTGGAGTTTCTACTACATATATGGAAGCAGTGGAGAGATAAAGTAGACTTATTGGAGGATAAATTTTTTTTTTACTATTCCTGGTAAACCGGGCAATTAAACCTAGTTTCTAGTGTTTCCTTTATGTAAAGGTGAGATTTCTTGGCATAGAAAAAGTGTATCTGACCTGTCAACAATCAGGCCAACCACACACTTCCCTGGGTGAATATCTTCAAGTGTAAAAAATATAGCCTGCACTGCTGACACAGCTTTTGCTTTTGGGGGATAGAAATGTTTTCAGCTCACGAGGAAGGATCAGCGGGAAACTAGATTAGCACAGTGGTAATGTTGGCTGGCGGATTGCTTAGCAGCAAAAGGGTTAAAGTCATACACTTACTGGTTTGAGCTGGGATCATAAATCTAAAGACAAAATGGTCACTATAATAGAATGTTCGAGCAAAACTGATTCTGAACAAGTATTTCATGTATAAATTACAAACATATGATGTGTTGCCAAGTATTGAATGAGTTATCCAGAAAATATATATTGAGCCTTAATTGAGTTTTAGGCAAAGCTTAAAAGACTGAAGAAATATCAATATACCAAGTAACACTATCTATCCCAATTATAACTCTGAGGGTTGAAGAGAATATTTTTGAAAAATTCTACTACTAAACCAGTGTATGGTGTCTGTGGTCAGGGCAGCCAGAAGAGCAAGCAGTTTAAAAGTGAAGGAGAATAAAAACACTGAAGAGATAAATATTTGAAGTTGAAATAAAACCTGCATGAGTAGGAAAATTATGGAGGAATAATTTTATTGTCAGTTCCTGTTGGAATATTAAGCAGAATTGTTCTAGTAGAATTAGGGTATGTCATTGATAAACAGCTAAGAGATGAAAATAACAAACAGCTAAGAGATGAAAAGGCAATCTTCTGACCATGTAGCTACATTATGCATTGTAATAGATCAAAGTATATTAATAGTATGGTGTATGAAATGGAATTGATTGCATTAAAACAGGAAATCTCTTTATAAATTGATGAGGCACTTTGAAGGTCTTTAACTTGATTCATATTTGTGGCATTGTGATGGTGGGGTGTCTGTGAATTACCTACCTCCACCGCCCCCCCCCCCCTCTCCCCAACCGGGCATCAGCCAAAAATGCCCTGTACCATTTCTAAAGGAAATATGGGTTGTGTTTCTACCTTTCCATTTAACACATAGCATAGGTGGGACTCTCAGTGTGCTCATTCCCCGCTACCAGATTGCCTGCTGGTTTTCCTAAGCTCTTCATGGCTCTAAGCTTGGCCTAAGCATGAGTAGTTGAGGCAACTGGATCGTCACGTCCTGAGTCCCTATGCCTTCACGATAGTTTCCAGTATTCAGGGGGGTTAGCATACATGTTTCCACGCCTAAGACTGTTCAACACACCTGCAGCTGCTTCCCTCCCACAGGGGGCAGTACAGTGTGGTGCACTGGGTTTATTATCGAGATTTGCTTCTCAAGATCCATTGTGTTTTGCCTGGGGATTCGCACCGCCAGTTACCAGGACTACCTCAGGCGAGGCTGTGACTCTTCACCACGCACATTGGTCTTGAGGGTGAGAGAGGTTAAGCTAGGTCAAGAGGCTGACACCGCAATGGATGCTCCTTTCATGAACAGATATTCACCAGACCTAAGGTGAAGTAAGGGGGGGAAAAAATCACTATCCACAACACCAACACTTCATGCCCCCCTGCCTCTCGAGGCTCAGTCCCTCATTAACTTGATAAAAGCAGCTTAAGAATATATAAAATGTAGAGAACTTGATGAGGAAAACCATAACAACTAATTTTAAAATTAGAACAAACAAAATACCTTTTGTCAACTCTAAAATCATATTGATTGTAAACTGGATTATGAAGGCAACAAAAGTAATCATGAGACTTGGAATTTATTGGAATCTGACTGAGTAGATTGATGTTAGAGCTTCACCGATGATATTGCTCCATTATTCAAAATATGAAATCTGATGCAAGATCAATAAAGCACACTTGACCTAATAACAAAAGATCACAACAATTAGGACATAGTACTTTGTTGATTACAACATTCTTTCCATAGAGTCAAGAGTTATGTTTGTTGTATTGAGTTATTTGGTCCATAATTTTAGTATGTCCTCACACTCATTTCTCTCACTTTGGTCATGGGCATCAGTCATTCTACTTTGTTTTTTATCACTTGTGCATTATAAGTCCCTGAGTATCATTTTCATTCAAAACATTTTGCCTGGTCTAATACCATGCTTTGTTTTTATTATGCAATACTATACTGACTATGTCCTAAATCCCTAAATTTAGCAAATGTAAAAGCTAAATCAAAGTTTATGGAGAGATATTTTTAAAACATTCATAAAACATCACTGGGCTTTCATTATTTCAAATTTTGTTTAACATTATTTATTTATATATTTTAAATAAAATATGCAGTATCATCTTTCATCTGAAAATATACAATGTTTATGTAAAGTATGATCCTGGCGTGTGCAGGCCCATTTCAGTATAGTGCATTATCTCTTTAAGTTCCAAGGAATGCATCACATGTTCATAAATTCCTACCTAGAAGCCCAATGAACGCAAGATGCGCCGATTTTACGTCTTTCTTGACTACCCCTTGGGCCTGTGAAGCTAAACCCCCTGGGACTCAAAGAGTTAAAAATGTTAAAAAGCAGACACATCACTTTCTTAAGCAATAGATATAGTTTCTTGATTGTTCCATTTGATTCATTTCACTGATGAACCTAGCTATAACTTCATATTGACTTGTTATATTTTTTCAGATAAAACCTTTGGATCCTTATGGAAATGTTATTGTAAGTTCGTATTTATCTGGTTTTTTGTTTTTGTTCATTGCAGTATTTTAACCATTACTGTAGTTGTGAGTTGTTAAAACATTTTTTAATTCTAATGGTCCATTTTGTATAAGTAATATTCATTAACAGATGATAGATAAAAACCTGTGCCTTATCTAGCTGACACCTTTATCTCAGTATTTAAAGAACATAATTCTAACCAACCTGGCCACCTGCCCATCACAGTGGTATCATTTCCTTATCACAGACATGGCAACAAGTTGACGAGAATATTCTCACATTGTTTTCTTCTGTCTGTCCATACATATGTTTCTGTTCTTAATTGTGGCCCACAACAGTTCATATCATAAGAAGGGCAAACTGGCGAATGCTGTGACAAAGAGAATGTTAAAGAGAAGAGATGCAGATGGAGATAAAGAGAGAAGATACTGGACCATTTGGCAATGACTGATAGTTTACAGCATGATTGTGGAGTCACCTTTATTTTTGTTCCGGGACACGCAGGCGTCGATGGAAATGAAAGAGCTGACAGGTTGGCTGGATCCGCTATCACTACTGGCGGTCGGCCTATGGATCATGCTGATATTATCAATGCCCTCAGAGAAATGGGAAGGATAGAGGACTTTGGTGGCAGTGAATCCACATCACTCGCCAGAATGGCAGACTTGGGAATTAAGATCGGCACAGCAAAAAACGAGACGCACACCGGACACGTCAGAAGCAGTGTTGCCACTTTTCTTTGACAAAAAATATCCAAAACGGTGTCAAAAAATATCTAAAAAGATCTAAATCTGCGTGGAAAAGATCTAGAAAAAACATCCAAATTGAAAAAGTCAAAAATAACATAGCTTTTGTTATGACTTACCCTACACAATCATGTCCTCACCTTCACTGATGTCTGCCTCACAAGATCCACAGGATAAACTTAGCTTGGATAATAAAGTTGAAGCTTCAGATCCAAAATGACCCTGGTGTGCTTTTGCTGTTCAAATTTCTTTATAAGTGGAATAGTAGGCTTATTTCTCTAGTCTCATCAGGCCGAATTTTAATGGCACGATAGCGTTTAAAAGGTCAAATTTCATCCTGTTTTTAGGTTAGATTTGATATAATTCCTAGCACTGAAAACTCTTTCTACATCAGCATTTGAGTGGGGTAGTATCATGGCAGACACGGCACTTTAAAGAGCTTACAAAATGGACTGTTTGATGAGGCATCTTTAAATTGTCTCACTTCACTCCAAAACGCTTTAGTTTCTGTTTTGTTTGTCCATTCAGCTAACTTTATTTTGGTTAACTGATATTCTGCTTCCGCGACACTATTATCAGTAGCCCCTAAAAATTTCATAACTTTACAATATTTAGGTATGTCCTTTATTGGCTGAAGTATGTTGCTCACAGAAAAAAGTGAAATATTTTTCAAAACATCTAGATTTTCAGGAAGTCTCTGCTTCAATTGCTTCAATAATGAGATAAGGAAATCTTGACAGCGTTTTCTTAAGTTGTTCTCTTCATTCTCTGTTAACAGTCCTTTTGTTTTTAAATCATCAATTTTTGATTCGATTTAATATCCAAGGTGTGGCTTAGGAGCCAAATAGCTCTCTATAGTGCAAGTGAGCAAATCAGCTTTAGAAGTTGGCAACCCCAGTCTTTTACCGAGTGAAATAGCAAGGTGAGATCATCGAGTAATTTAACTTTATCGACAAGTTTAGATGCGAACAGTTTATTAACTTTTTTTGCACTTCTATTAGAATAGGTTATAAAAAGAGAATGAATGACACATTTTTTTCATCACTGTACATTCCATATAGTATTTCAGCTGTGTAGCACTTTTCACTTTGTCTTGTTATTTCAAAGTGTGTCTTCAACTTCAGCCATTGCTTCATAATTCTTTCAACAGCTGGTTAAATTGATAACCATCTAGTTTTGCAATCTGACAGAATTTTCGGTGGTGTGGAACCATCATTCAAGGCTGTATATAATATATTGTATTGCTGTTGTCTGACAAATGATTTGGAAAACCAGTAAAGTGTTTCAGCAATAAAGTATTCCAAATTCCTTAGTAAATATTTTGATGAAGCATGTGATAATGCTAGCTGCAATGAATGACGCATACATTTTATAAGTATTAACGATGGGTTAGCTTCCTTCAACTTGGCATAAACGCCATTGTTTATACCAACCATCACTGAGGCATTATCAGTACCAATTACAGCCAAATTTTTTAAGCCTAACTTTTTGCTGATTAAAAGGTCCTTCAGTTCCTAAACTATACTTTCTACAACACACTTTTCAAATTGAACTAGTCCAACATTTTTTACAAATCGATCAAATGGTCGCAGTTTGAAATTGCGCAGTGACAAATTAAAAACATTGCGACTGATACTTCAACTTTTAATGATTCATTTATCAGCAGTATAGTTCTGAAAACAGATGTCAGCGGTGTAATATCTATAAATGAAACTGCAGTTTTATGCTTTTTTAGTCTCTGCATGACTCTTTGAGTTTTGTATTTTCGCTTTAATTTCACACTTGCAGTACTTACAACAAGCTTTGGTCATATCCCCAGTTTTTAATTTTGTCATCACTCTTTCCAAATTTTTTGCTCATATTTTACTTTTTGGCATGTTGAAAGGTTTTTTCAAAGTGAAAGCCACAAAAGAAGGTGAGCAATTAATTTTTTTTTAATCACATGAAAAAGAAACGCAAAGTCAGCACAGTGAGGATACAGTTGAAACAAAGTTAGTATGATTTATGCGCGTTTTTATTAATCAGTACCGGGGCTGCCAGCTATTTGTGCGTTGACCCCAGTGAGAGTTCAAAGTTCAAGTAATGGCAGTTGTCACAATGTACGTGCCAGACCAAAACAAAAATATTGTAGTAAATATTTTACACAGTAATTATTAAATTGACAATGAAAGAAAAAAAAATTTATAAAATATCTAACTCCATATGAAAAGGATCTAGAAAAATATTTACGATCTAAACGTCAAAAACAGTATCTAAATGCGATGAAAAATATCTAAATTTGGATATAAAAGATCCAAAGTGGCAACACTGGTCAGAAGACTTGTTAATCAACATAGAACTGGTACTATTAGCCATCGGACGTTGGGGTTCATACTGAAGGGAGGATCTGAGCACCTATGGACATGTCCGGAGTGCAATGATGATAACCCAACTAACTAACTAACTAATGATTGCTGATGCCACATGACACAGATTATACTAAGAAGAACAAACAAGAGAACTTTAGTATTAACATAATAATATTGTAATGCTCATTTGTTTTTCAGGTGGATGAAGTTAAAGAGGCCAACATCAACTATCCTGACTATCCTTTAAACAGCATTGACTCAATCCTGATTGGTGGCTGCATCAGTGGTTATCATGAATGTGAACATCTTGCCAACTTTTCGGGCTGCATATCTAGTAAGTCTTTTAAGCATGTTATAAATCTGTTTTAGATTGTTTTTAGTTTTAATAATGAAAACAGTATTCTTAACTATATAAGAATGTTAATCATGAGAGAAGAATTGAGAGTGTTGACAATTCTAATTTCAGATGTCATTGTTGACTGCTGAAATTTGGGATTTTAGTTTTCTTACATCATTCAATTTTGTTTCCTATAAATATTTGCAGTGCTAGTGAAGTCAACAAAGAAGTAAATACTGTACTACGAGTATAAGTTGTTGTGTATAGTATATGATTCCTTCTTAGAAATGTCTAATTCAAGATTTATCGTGTTATACTTTAAATTTATTCTAACAGACGTAGCCTACATACCTAAGAACCCCAGCATGGTCATTATTCGCACATTGCGGGACCTTTATTTGGATATCCCTGGCATTCATGTTCTAGGAAATAAGACTAGCAGCTGTTCTACAAGACCCATAGAGATTCCAGTTACAACTGTTGTCCCATATGAATCAAGGGCTACTCCCGGAACTTTTATGGTATGTTTAAATTTAAAAGCCAGTTAGGAACTCACTTGATGTTTTGTTTAATCTATAAATACCACCACACACACTATGCATGTGCGTGTGCGCGCACACACCACACACACACACACACACATTCTGGTTCATGTTCAATATTCACTTTTAAAAATAAAGGCTTTAAAGTTTCTAAATTCCATGTTTCTTTAAGTGTTTATAATGAGACGCCAATATTTGTGGTCTTACCATTCAACAGTACTTTTGTTGTTTTTATTCTTGCTACACTTTTTTTTATACTCTCTCTCTCTCTCTCTCTCTCTCTCTCTCTCTCTCTCTCTCTCTCTCTCTCTCTCTCTCTCTCTCTCTCTCTCTCTCTCTCTCTCTCTCTCTCTGTATATAAAACGTTGATACAGTTTTCAAACAATTAATATTTCAAGTTAAATAATAAATGAAAACAAATGTGATTTTTTTTTTTAACCATTTCACTAAACTTAGAAACCATCTATGTACATTCTGTAACAGTTTATGCAAACATAAATGCAAAGTGGAACTTAAGAGTAAAATCAATAAAAATAATACCAGTAAACAAAGATCAAGCAAATTAAAATAATTGACAATCTCTTTTACCTAATCTGAGTTTGTTAAAGCTTTAAGGGCATTAGGTTAGCTGCAGAATGAGACCCTGACAACTGAAACAGTTGATGCATATCTAACACATGTTTCTACTATAACTTTTGTGTCAGATTCATGTTCCATGTTCATTTCACTTTACTGCATAAACTTCAGTTTCTAATTTGTCCCACATATTTCAGGAAAGCATGTATAGAGTTGAACTAAAATTGACTTGTACTCATGCATATTTTGGATACAGTTTTTTTTTTTTAAATTATCCCTGGAAAATTAAAAACAAACTACTGCAGCTATATGTGTTGATGGAATGAGTTTAAAGAAAACAGACTTTGTTAATAATATATTTCTTTAACATACACTGGAGACACTTGTCACAGTTTTTGAGATAACCAAAGCAGAAGCCAAGAACACATCACATGCTGCCTGGTCCTGAAAGAGGTAGTGCTAGGTCATCACTTTCTGTCAGAAATATACCTGCAGAGATATTACAGTCTTCAGTAGTTCTACGCATCATGGAGAGAATTCTGGTCGGGAATTCTCAGCTACAATCAATAGGAAGAATAGAAATGAGTCTACAGATCTACAATACTTCCATTATTATCAACATATCTAAGAATAATTATATTTTGGTCTTCAACTTACTCAGGAAGTTGCTTGTTTTCTGTGTACTGTCTTAGTGTAATTGTTTCATTGACCAGGTTTACAAATTCGTACTTGATTAAAGTCTCATTTAGTTAATATTAATCTACTAAATTCTCTTTTGTATCTGACGACAAATTCTTGCTTGCTGTGTTTATTCATTATTATCTTTTTCACACAAGATTGAAAAGGCCTTGTTTTATTGCTGTGTCAAAAGATTTGAATCTTAATTATTGGTCCTTAGTCATCTAGATTCATTGATGTAACAAAAAGTACATTCCTTGTTCCTTTATATAAATCTAAACTGAATTTATAAAATTTCTTGTCATATTTTATTTGTATATTTTTCTTTGTAATGCAACAACAAAGTAACAACAGTATCTGATTTATTAAGCTGATTATTCAATGTGATTCATGTTACACTTTTGGCTGGATTGTTTTTAATGTATTGTGATAACAACTGAACTGCAGATGTGTGTGTTATTATATACCTTTTTCGGTATCTGTATTATTTTCTCCATGCCATGTCCCTCCCACTGTCATCAATTTCTTCTGGAACTTTGTCTAAGCATGGTAGCTCTGACATTTTATTTTTCCTAATAGTATTTTCTAGCTCATCTTGATTAATATTGTGGATTGTTTACCTTTCAACATCATCATCAGGTGTCTTGCCGATGTGTTTGTTGGCAATCACGCTTCTCCATATCTGGAAATCTCCATCAGCATGCATCAGTTCTTGTCCTAACACCCTTCCCTGCCAGATCAAAAGGATTGCAACAATATTTTCTTGTTATTTTCTTTATTTCTCTTTCTATAAATCTGTTCAGTTATCACTCCATAAATCTATTCAGTTAACACTCCATAAATTTGTTCAGTTAACACTCCATAAATTTGTTCAGTTAACACTCCATAAATTTGTTCAGTTAACACTCCATGAATCTGTTCAGTTATCACTTCATGAATCTGTTATCACTGCATAAATCTGTTCAGTTATCACTTCATGAATCTGTTTAGTTATCACTCCATAAATTTGTTCAGTTATCACTCCATGAATCTGTTCAGTTATTACTCCATTAATCTGTTCAGTAATCACTCCATGAATCTGTTCAGTTATCACTTCATGAATCTGTTCAGTTATCACTCCATGAATCTGTTCATTTATCACTCCATTAATCTGTTCAGTTATCACTTCATGAATCTGTTCAGTTATCACTTCATGAATCTGTTCAGTTATCACTCCATTAATCTGTGCAGTTATCACTCCATGAATCTGTTCAGTTATCACTCCATTAATCTGTGCAGTTATCACTCCATGAATCTGTTCAGTTATCACTCCATGAATCTGTTCAGTTATCACTCCATTAATCTGTTCAGTTATCACTCCATGAATCTGTTCAGTTATCACTCAATTAAACTGTTCAGTTATCACTCTATTAATCTGTTCAGTTATCACTCCATGAATCTGTTCAGTTATCACTCCATAAATCTGTTCAGTTATCACTCCATAAATCTGTTCAGTTATCACTCCATAAATCTGTTCAGTTGTCACTACATAGATGTGTTCAGTTATCACTCCATAAATTTTTCCAGTTGCTACATATTCTGCTTTTTTTTCTTTTAAATAATACTTTCTTGTATTCTGATCATCTACATGGTAGGTACTGTAAAAGACTATTCTTCACAGCAAAATTAATTATTCACTGGATCTTGAGAATTAAGTTAGTATGACACTTATGCGCAGTTACATCATTTCTATACTTCTTACAGGAATTAACAATGCCTCCATGGAAGAACAGTGATCTCAGAATTGTAACACTGGGTATCCAGCCTTTCCAAGTCAGCTTTCCGTCCACATCTCCGACTACAACAATGATCTATAGTGAGCAGAATCAAACCTACCCAGTCATCATAGCCAGTAACAAGGCACCAGTAGACGACATCACAATCAGTATGTTTGCCATAACATCTTTTTTTTTTTTTTTTTTGGTGTGAACTATGCATCAGTGTATAATCATATAGATAAACTGATAAAATTAACAAGTCCCTGACTGGTTGTCATTGGCAATAATACTTCTCCATTATCTAGTCTTCATCAGCATGTATAAATAAAAAACAAATCATATGTAAAATATTTTTGAAAATTAACAATAATGTATGGTACCCTAGGATTCTTTTGGAGCCTGTTGACAGTTTAAAAACTAAAAATGTGGAAACAGTAGCAACCCAGAAGGGAAGACCCATAGTGTAGTGGCTAGACACTCGTCTGTGGATCAGTAGGTCGTGGAATTGGGTCCTGATGGAGCCAGACTTTTTTATTTTTTAAATTACCTTTGCTCTCAAGTCGACCAAGCCTTGAGTGGGTACAAGATATAGTCCTGGGAGATAAAGGTGGCCGGTGTGATGCTGACCACATCACCTAGCGAGGGCCGATTGGTCAATAAGTCATAGGTCTAGCCCTATAAGCCCAAGTCACTTGAGGATGTGGGAAAACATACAACCTTTTTTTTTTACCAACCCAGGCCTAATTTTAGCCGGTCCTTTAGTGAGTTCCGGATCCTGCTGATGTCTGGACATAAAAGAGAAAGCAGAGCTCTGCAGCACAGTCCCTTATGGTAGCTGGTACCTGGTCAGGGGAAAAATTTGAGCAGATACACCAGAAAATAAAGGTTATGTTAATCATTTCATAGTTATCAATTATGGATCCCTGTAACTTCAATAAGCATGGCTGCAATTTCTCCATTGAGTCTAAGGATTAGTGTAATAAAGTGGTATGCTGTAAGTTTCACCAAAGTAATTGTGTAGAAATATCTGTATAATTTCTAGATGATTCTAATTTTTTATGTGTTTCACAGATTAACTGATATTTTAATGATTTCACTAACTAAGGTTGTATATTGTATTTTTCCTCCTCTATTTTCAGTAATTGTGGTCTGCATAATAGCCATCTTCCTGGTGATAAGCCTGACTGTCACCTTGGTTTTTGTGAGGAAACGAAAGCAGCATGAGGATGTTTTAGTCAAGAAAGAAGGCGAAGTTGACTTTGAACTAAAGCAACCTCTCAACCACACTAACTCATCCCATCACACAAACTCTGCTCCCTTCTCATCTCGCACATTCCCACAGACTATGGCTAAACCTAACCAAACTGGAAATATGAACAGTTCAGTGCCAGCAGACCATTTAGCCAAGTTAGATGAGTTCAGCATGATCTCTGCAATATTAGGCCCTAAAGGTTAGTCTCAGTTCATATTTTATATTTGCTCGAAAAGTATTGTGATCTGGTGGTCGGTCTGAGGAGAGATGAAGTGTACTCAGTAAAAATCTTTGCTGTCGAGGTAGACACAAGAAGAGGTCTTGTCTTCACTTTCACCTACAATGCACTAAAGCACCTGAGCTTGTGAGGAAGTGAACGGAAATGGGGTCAAACAGCTGGCCGAAGCTGATAAAAGAGCTTCGAGTTGGATTTGGGTGCAAAGGAGCGTCAAGGAAGGATGGGCCTCGGTAGACTGGTCCGAGCCCCTATTTGAAAAGAACTTATCATTCCTATAAAGCCAAAGTGTCCAATAAATGTCTGAAGTATCTCTCTGCCAAATGCCATAGTCTAACACCTGTCCAATGAACCAACCGTCAGCTTGTCACTCTGGTCATGAAGGTAGACGGCTAAGTAAATACATGCCACATTTGACACAAAATCTCACTATATTCACCATATCATCTTTTTTCCTGTCCGAGAGTCCTATTATGTGAAGCCAGAACGTTAACCCAAATATTGGAGTCGGGTGGCCATTTCCCCGCTACACTAGGTGGCTACCGACCAGGAAGAGATACATGGTGCAATGCTGCAGTATTTGCCTACGACACATACGAAGGTTTCCAGGAGGGAATAGAAACGGCTGCAGCCGCTATTGACTTAGAAGATGCGTACAACAGCGTCCCATACAACATGCTCATCAGACTGCTGTTGGATATGCAGATAGAAACAAATTTGGTCAACTGGATCGCAGCAGCGCTATTTGAAAGAACAGTGTCGCTTCGATGTGGTGAATGGGCATCCGAACCTCAACGCGTCCTAATGGGTCTGCCCCAGGGATCACCATTGTCGCCTGTGCTCTTCAATGTGTACACAGCAGGAGTCACTAGTGCACAACGCATAGGCCTAGGCAGAACAATGTCGTATGCAGATGATATCCTTGTGTACCGTCGAGGTAAAAACAGGCAGGAAATTACAACCACACTACAACACGAACTAGACAGACTTAGTGAGTGGTGCCAGGAATCAAGAGCTCATGTGAACCCGTCCAAAGCCTCCTTAACATGGTTCTCTCTGAATACCCACATCGTGAGTACACCAACGCCAGTCGTAAGCATCTGTGGTGTGGACATCGAGAGAACGGACACCATGAAATACCTGGGCATGACATTTGACAGATGCTTGTCATACAAATGCCACGTAGACAACGTCATACTTAGAGCCAGGAAAGGTTTGACAGCACTCAAGGTGCTAGCAGCAGCTGATATTGAACAACGTCTACTTTTCCTTCTCTATCAAGGGCTTGTGCTTAGCGTCATTGACTATGGTCTCGGCCTCCTCACTGTCAGCAAAACCCAGCTAGAAAGACTGGACCGAGTACAGAATGAGGCCATGAGACTCATACTCGGCTGCACAAAAGACACCTCCTGCAACGCCATGCGTTATATCCTGGGTCTGCCGACTATGACAAGCAGATACAAAGTGGCACAGGTCAAGGCTTACATGAGGGTATCGGCAGATGTTAACCACCCATTACACAAAGCTATTCACGACACAAAAGGAACGCGTCTCAAAAGGGGCCGCTCTTGGATGGCAAAGGCTGAGGACTTAATCCAGCAGGTATGTGACCTAGACGTGATCAGCCACGGAAAAGAATGGACGAATACACCAGTAGACATGCATGGCATTTCTAAGGTTGTCATCACACTCGGAAGGTACTGCAGGGATCAAATTCCCGCGGCGGTAGACACAGAAGTAAGGGAACTGATAGATCAGCATTCAGACCCAGAAGATACCATCATCTACACAGATGGATCTGTGAAGCGCGGATCAAGGTCAGCATGGGCATACACAGCGCAAAGAAAGGGGAAAACAATACATGAGGACAGCGGCGCTTACCAGACAACCACGTCAAGCATGACAATGGAAATAGCCGCTGCTTCTAGAGCTTTAGCATGGGTATCCGAGCAAACCGCCACACAGGTAGTAATTGTCTCAGACTCAATGAATATGCTTCAGAAGATAGCAACAGGCAGCATGCGCTCTGAATGGATAGAAAGCATCAGGAAATCGCACTTAACCTCCGTAACCTGGATCTACACACCGGGTCATGCGGGCGTGAAGGGAAATGAACGAGCAGACCAACTGGCAAGCACTGCACTAATGATTGCAGGAAAAAGTATGGACAGAGCAGACATAGTCAACGCTGTACGAACCGGGCTAGTGGAGAATGAGGAATCCCTGACACTAACACGATTGCGCGACATGGGAGTTAAGCATGGTGATGCACGTCTTTGCCGTCTTCGAGGCCGAGAAAGGAGACAATATAACCAGCTTCTCATGGGGGGACAATTAGTAGAAGTGCTTTGGAGTGGCTGCTGCTTCGGAGAAATGAGCACGCATGGGTATGCCCAATGTGCAGTGACATTAATTGTGATAACAGAACATAAAATAACATCTTAGTAGGGAGTCGGCAGTACGAAACCCAAGTTCAAGGTGTCTCCTTCGTGCCAAAGAACTGCATGGCTGTTGGGTGAACAGTCGTTAACGAGGGCAGGCAGGTCGTTGTAGGGGTGACGCCTGCTGGTGGATGTAATGTCCTAAGTCCCTTCCCCAGCTAATAATGAGGGTACTGCTGGGGTGACCGTTTATTAACCCTCATATAATTCTTCCGGTCAAAATGGACGCTAGGTACGGCCACCTTTTTTTTTTTTTTTTTTTTTTTTTTTTTTTTTTTTTTTTTTTTTTTTTTTTTTAAAGCCGTGGCAAATATTTTTCCAGACGGTGGCCGTTGCATTTTTTGCTCCATTTGTAGACTGGAAGGATGTAGTTTCGTCGCTCAGCTTCTGAGTTGAGTGCATGGCGTGACACTGTGAGCTGCGTTTGTTTTTCGTTGGCACAGGAGCGGAGCATGTGTGGGGTGACCCGTTTGCTATGAAGCTGAAACTAGGATTACCAGATTACCAGGTAAAGAACAAAGCCTGGAATCATGATCCAGGTCGGACCACATTCCGAGATTGTTTAGGAAGTAATGGATTGAAACAATCGCCGACGAGGATCTTTTTTCTGATGATCGGTGGACCCCTTCTGTGCATGCTTCCCTGTGGAGTTCTTCTTATTAATATTGATGAGGATGGCTTCTTTTAATATGAACATGTTCATGTTAATTCTACCAATTGTTAGATGTTTTGTACTTTCCAACAGTTGTGACAGTGTGACATTATTTATAGTGGTATGATATTGCTATACTGCTTTTTCCGTGAATGTAAACAAAACAAAAGAAAAAGATTGTTTTAAGTACTTCTAGGCATACTAGCCCGATGTTTTTGTAGACCAGTCAGTACATGTGTCACGTGGTCACTTATACACCAACCATCTCTAGTCATCCAGAACCTTTGTTGCTAGCATTTTTTTTATGGATGACCAGTTCACTTCTAATAAATGCCCAGTTTGATGGAAATTCAAACAGATTTCTGGGCCAGTGGCATGGCATATTTTAGTTTGATTTTATTTGATTTGATTCAAAAACCGACATCACAGCACTTGGGGCATTCCCATTAGCGCTCCGTCACCATCTTCAGCAGCCAGTGAAGAGTTCCGATACTAATGGTGCCAGTAGCTTTCTGATTAAACGTTCGTCTTGCTTTTCCTCTGAGCCTTGAGCTTCTGCCAGAACCTCTCGTCACCCCCAACTGCATCAATCTCACCAAAATGTGGTGATCCATCTGCTTCTCCGCATTGTACACGCTCTCCCACAAGTCACTAACCACGTCTCCCCTATCATGTAGCAGTATTCCACCAAGTTGTACAGAATCAGCCAGTCTGTCCGCCTGTTCATTTCCCAAAACACCGGCGTTACCCGGAGAAAAAATCCAGACAATACTCCTCACTCGTGTCCTCCGCAGCAAAGCATGCCACTCTGCACGAAGCATACTTGTTCTGATCTTCCTCAGCATGCTTTCTGAATCAGTTACAATTACAATGTGTGTGTGTATCGTGTTCTCTAGCCAGCGGAAAGCTGCAGTGACCGCTTCCACCTCCATTCTTAAGCTGGATGTTGTGGTATCATATGCTAGGCTCTCCTGCACCAAATGTCGACCATTAACTTTTGCCAAAAAGCCCCAAGCACTTCTTTTGCCTCTTGACACTGAACTGTCTGTGTAAATGATCAAATCCTCTGAGCGAGCATTATCTTGAACTAATTGCTGAATTTCCACCTCTGTGGCACCTGCTGGCCAGTCTCTGCATTTCCGGCTCAGCGTGATTATGACTCTACACAAGTCTGACTGCTCAGGTGGCACTTTGACCCACTCCTCTCCTCGCCTAATGTTCTCAAGGATGCAAACCTGTCTAATTGTGTCTTCTGCCATTCTGTATGCGCTCTAGTTTGTCCATCAGACTCTTTGAGACGGTAAGCAGTCCCAGGCCATAATCAACCACTGACAGGATCAGGTGCTGATATAGTGTGAAAAGCATTCTCTACTCTATGTCAATTGCAGCCATAGTCTTAAGTGCACTGAGTCCTTTTTAGCATCTTGTCACAACACTCTCCACATGGTCCTTAAATGACAGGCTCCTGTCAAATGTAATTCCCAGATACTTCAGTTTGCTCTATCTGTTGACGTCTCTACCATCTATCATTAGACTTGGGACATTAGTTTTAACTATTCTGTTGTCCAGAGAACACCACAAAACAGATGCCTTTTCTGGGTGGATGACAGCCTTAATTTCTGTACACCACTCAGTCACTTTGTCTACTGTCACTTGTAGCTCCCAAGCTGTTTGTTTCCTCTCTTCCCCCTGCCTATTTGCAAGTATATCATCCGCAAAAGTCAGTATCCTTCCAACTCCTGGTGCTTCTAGGCTTGCAATCTTGCTCATATATACGTTGAAGAGCACAGGCAAGATGGCGGATCCCTGTGGCAGTCCTGGGGCCAAAGTGCATGGTTCAGAGGTCCATGAGCCCAGTCGGAGAGCAACCCGACATGAATACAGGACAGCTGCAACCCAATTCACCAGCCATGGATTGAAATCCTTCTCCCTCAGTGCAGTCATTAAGATGTCGTATCTCACTCTGTTATAAGCATCCTCGAGATCCAGTCCTACCGCCATAGTTTCCTGTCTGTTCTGGCACCCTTCATAGACGTCAAAAGCAAAAGTGGCCGCATTTGCCCAAGTGTCCTTTCCTGGCCTGTAACTTCCCAGACCTTTTGGGAGAAGCTTCCCCCCTTTCCAAAAATTCTTGTAACTTTACAGCAACTATCTTCTCCAAGACCTTCCCAAATGTGTTTTGTAAGGTGATGATTCTTAAGCCATTAAGCTTAGAATGATCTTTAAAAGGTTTTGGTAGTGGGATTAGATAGCTGTGCACCCAGTCTTGCGGTACTGATGCTGTCTTAATACTCTGGTTAAAACAGTCGGCCATCTCTGCCAGGTCTTCGTTGCTCAAAGCCTTCATGAGACCATACCTGACTCCATCAGGCCCTGGTCTTTTGCTTTTTTCTAAATTTGTTTGATATCTTCCACTTGTATCATGTCTTCATAATGCATGCTCTTCAAGGTGCCAGCCAACTCCTTTCTAACTGCATCCCTGATGTCTACATCATTATGATCTGTCTGAGCTATAAACCTATAGAGAAAAGCCTCCCCTTTCTTCTTGTCTGTTGTCACACGCATACCATCGTCTCTACAATTTGTTCCGACTGTCATAGGCCGATCTTTTCTTTGCATCTGCCTTTGCAGTTTCCAGAATTTCCCCAATGTTTTATCGCCTCCCATGTCATTCACAAAAGTTTCCCACTTTGCTCTTTTGGCCTCTGCAGCACAGCACTTGAAAACCTCCACCTTATCTTTTTTCACATTTTCCGCCATCTCCACTTCCTCTCGTGAGCTTGAGGATGTCTGTCGTACTTTCTTTAGCTGCTTCACTGTGGCTCTCTTTGCCTTCCATGCCTGTTCTACTTCTGGAGTCCACCATGGGGGCTGTAGAAAATTAGTTCTGGCAGTTCTTTTGCATGCTCCCCATCTGAGGCGTCCAAGTAGGTTGTTGGTCCACTTATACTAGAAGGTCTTGCGTGCTCTCTTTTAGTTTAAGGTTCTTGAACTAGTCAGCTTTGGTTTATTCTTCACATGTAACTCTTTATGTACCAGAGAGCAATTAAATTACTTATAGATGAACTTACCGTGCACTCCTTGGTACTGAAAGGGTTCAAAAGCTTCTGAAGAGAAAATTGTACATGAAAACACACTAAAAATGTATGTTGGTTCTCATAGATGGTTGCTGCCCATATAGATAGATGTTGCTGGGTAACTCCATAATTGCTTCATTCCTGTACTAGTGACATTGCTACTTCGTGTGAAATGTCACACAGAAAGCAGTCCCAGCAAAATTATAACAGCTTGCACATAAGGTAGCCACTAGAGGTGTCAAAACATAAAGTAAAGTATGTCACTGGAATTGCTGTTCATAATTAATGGAAACAGCAGTCATGACAAACCAGCAGGCACACATGCATTACTGAATAAGGCACACTGCCAGTTCTATAGCAACCAACCTCTGAATATGCAGTTTAAAACACAAATCTCTAGGAGCATAGACATTAAGCATTCGCCATGAAATTCACAGCTTAAAGTATTGCATTATGCACTCAACTCAGTAGCTGGGTGATGCAACCAAATTTCTTCTTTACCTTATTTGTTGTCCCCTCCAGTTTCTCACTGGGACTCCACTCTACCACCATACTACTGGGGAGAACAGGGTCCACCACATGACAGTGAAGTTGAATTGAGCAAGAGAAGCTAAGAGACATATAGAGTTTTACAGTGCACACTAATACTCCATTAGGACTCCATTCAGAAACAGTGGTGTGCCGTCAAAACTGGCAGAGTGAAAAAGTGTGAATGACCTTTGGGGACTATGCCATGTCTACAGTTATTTCTTGGCTTCATATTGTAGGCCCCTTATTTTTCAGACCAAATGGCACTAAATTGTGGATGTGAATATCAGATTAAACTCCTTCACTTCCCAGAAAATTGTGTGGTACCCATTTTTGATTGGATTAACCTGGGAGCCCAGATCCATTTTAGAAATATCCTTACCTTAGCAAGGATTTGAATACATAACCCCCAGGCTGACAGATAAACATGCTAGTCACTGCATTTCCACTGCCTGAATCTGCTAGGTAAATATAGGATAAATCTAAACCATTAGTAACCAAACCAATCTGACATAAAGTTAGACAACTTATGCAGGTGTGTGTTTATTTTGTGTATCATGAATGACAAACCAAAAGTGATTACACATTTACTTTTACTTGATGTTCTGATTTATGAATAGCCTGGAATTGATGATGACATGGAGTTCATAAATCCAGTCTACAGTTCCCGGAAACAACGACCAGCATCATCCATTTCTGAAATACTAGAGGAGTTAGAGAAACAGCAACAGTCTTCTGCCAATAGTAAGTTATATTGTAATCAGGATACTCATTGCTTGCTGTTTTAAGCTGAAGACTGAAGTTGTCTCGTGTCTTTATATGGTTTATCTGTAGATTACATTTTTAATGACAACATATTTCATTCGTAGGAGTAATCCATTTTCAAAAATAATAAATAATAATAGTAAGATATTTGATTTCTAATAATTATATATATATATATATTGTTAGAATATTCTCTGCAAAGAAAATGAGTAAAATTGATAAATAATGTTCATGTTAAGTGCCTGGTGAAAATGCTAAATGGATGGATGAGACAGAAAGTAAAATAAAAAACCTTCTTCTTCTTCTTCATAATTCTAAGCCCTTGAGGTTTATTGCAGCAGATATCACTCACCTCCATTTATCTTTGTGATTGGCTCTCTCTCTCTATCCAGTTGATTACTCCAGATGTTTTAGATCTCCTGGATTGTATCTGTCCAGTCTTCTTGGTGTGCCTTATGATCTACAGCCATTCAACTCCTTTGTGTTGACAGTTTTTGACTTTCTCTAAATATGCCGTAGCCGTTTTCAGAGTTCTTAGTACATATGTGATCAATTAAAAACATTATTGCTCAGAGGTTTGCCAGATTTACAAGAATTTTATAATGAAATCTTCTCTAAACCGTGCCACATTTGTGATTTGCATGATATATCCCAGCTGCATTACTTATCACGCATAACTTTTTATTTCCCTCACATATTTAGTTACTTTGCAATAAACATTTTTTAAACTACTAAAAAAAAATAAGAATTTTTCCACGCTTTTTACATTATATCCACAATTTAGCTGTTTTCATCAGCAGTGCAAATCCAAACATTTAGTAGTTGCAACAAAGAGAAAATTAAGATTTGCATGGTAATTTGGTCAGAAGATTGTAAAGTTGATATTAAACTTATTTTAAAAAAAAAAAAAGATATATATGTGTGTGCCTGCGTGCGCGCATGTGTGCGTGCATGTGTATGTGTGCATGTGTATGTGTGTTGTGTGGTGTGGGGGGGGGGGTGTTGAGGTGTGTGTGTGTGGAGGTTGTGGGGGGTGTGGGTAGGCTGTAGGGGGGGTGAGTGAGGGGTGGCTTGGTGGATGGGTGGTGGGATGGATGGATATATATGTGTAAATATGTATATATATCTATATCTATATATATATATAAATATATATATATATATATATATATATATTATATATACTATATATATAGATATATATATGTGTGTGGGTGTGGGTATATGTGTGTTCTTGTATACACATATACATAACATACATACATATATATATAATATATATATATATATATATATATAACATATATATATAAATATTATATATATATATATATATATATAATATAATAGATATATTAATATATATATATATATATTATATATATAGTTTGCAAAATCTATTGCAATTTTATGGGTGAAACTACATTAAGAAAAATGTTACATTTAAAAATTAGCCCTGAAACAGAATGAGACATAAACATGACAATAAATCTGGGTGCTGAATATTTTGAACTTGTTTGATTTGAGCTGTTCGCAAATATCAACTCCATTTTGGGTTAATCGAGTATGCTTAATTTTAAAAGCAATATATGTGTTTGTGTGTGTGTGTGTGTGCATGCATGCATGCCCATTAGTGTGCTTGCACACACTCAAACAAAAAGTGAATTCAATGGGGAAAGACATTTCTTACAGTTAAGTATTTATTACTTAGGTTGCCAGGAACACATTGGAAAAGAACATAATGAGAAGGGCTTAGAGAGGAATCGCTCGGCAGATCCAATTAGAAATGTAAGTCATAAATGTTTTAATAGTTGTAACAGTATCATCTTTTAGTAATAAGACTATTCTCTATGTGCAAATTATATTTAAAAAATTTGTCATTGTTCATGTTTTAATTCTTTACTGTTTAATTGCTTTGTCAAATAAATTTGTTCCTATTAAAGTTACTATCTAAAATATTGTTGCAAAGAGGAGTTAACTGTCACATTTTTTTTTAGATGCACAATTAAGCATTTAGCCTACATGTTGAAATTGTTTATATTATGGTATGGTGAGTTCTTAAGAAAATAATTAAACATTCAAAAGTGAGTTTTGCACATTTAAGAATTAGTCTGAATGGTAATAATAAAATATAAGTACAGGTAACAAGAAAATGTAATTATGGCTATGGTTATCTTTTTACAATTTGGTAAAATAAAAATGCTCTATGCACATAAATTACTGCAGATAACAAAACGGTAAGCTGAGGATCCACACAGAAAAATGTCTCCAACTGCTACATGTTGAACATGTGATATTGGTTGTAGTATAACCTGAATGGTGAGAAAAACATATACACATACTCAGGCACAACACACATACACATATATATGAATGTGTGTGCATAGGTGCTTGTGTGTTTGTTATTTGTGTGTGTGTGTGTTTAGGGGGGGGGGGGGGCTACAAGTAAGTCAGCTATTTCCCTCAGTTGCTACCATTGCTCTGATATTCTGGGGTTTCCTACCGTCATTCTTTTCTTCAATGTTGAAGGCGATTGTTACCTAGTGTTTGTTTTGTTGCCAGCCCCCATCTAGTGCCGTGGTCTAGTTGCAGGATGAAACTTCAGATAAAATTTCTCTCATCTAGTGTGAAAAAAGTGAAACTATACAAATTGCATTTTGGTCAGATAAGTAATTACATGATATAAGAATTTAATGTACCAAATATATACTCTGAGAACTCAGTTAACACTGTATATTGCAATTATAACTCTGAGAGTTAAACAGGATATTCTTGAAAAAAAATTACTACTACTCATCTAGTGTCTTCTGCCTGCCTACCTCCGGTGAAGAGTCTCATTGCATAATCTCAGTCTGATAAAAATATTGCCATATTTCACCATGATAAAAGTGTGCTGCTTATTAATCTTCTTCTTCTTCTTCTTCTTCGCGTTCACCAGCTGTAATCTTGGTGGAAAGTTCTGGTTGTTCATCCACTTCTGGACTGCAGTCATGTTCCAGAACCTGAGTGTTGCATGTGCATCCGTTTTAAAGATCTGACTCATTTGTTTGCAGACTGCTGGTTCCTTGCCTCTCGTGTAGATGTGATCTGACTTTGAAGAAAGTTCCCAATTAGTCGACTCTTACAACATGCTTTTAGGATGCAGTGAATCTATTCTTGCTTTCCCCATAATAAGGCCCCGGAACCCACACGGGAATCTTATTAATTATTCACCTGTTTCAAGACATTCAGCGCGATCATTGTCCAGTCATGAGATGACATAACTCTTATCTACAGATTATGTCAGAGAATATTCCATGAACCTTTAGAAAACCGCTCTCTCCCGTTAAGTTTCTGCTATTAGAATGGAAATGTTTGCTACATGACTGTACATTTTACCCAGCAATGAAAACATAGATTGGCTCAGTTTTAGCTTCAGTTGTCTTGTCTGATTGTAGCCTTTCTACACTGATGTAGTCACATGCTCAACAAACACTATGCTTCTATCAGGCAGTGTAGATTAGGTTATCTCATTGCTTCAAGGGATCAGCATCCTGGACTTTTAAACAAATTATTAGTAGTTAGTTGTTTATAGTTTATTGTCTAACAGTCTAATACTTTCTGGCAATAACTTTAGCTTTAGAATCTAGACTGTTTATTCGTTTTCTAAAAACTTTAATTTAGTAATGATGAAGATCATGTGTGTTCGACAGAAGCTTATATGTATCTAAAATGGATCTATTGTAATTTAAATGTTACTAACAATATTATCTACTTCTTGTGTATATGAGACATGAATATTGATCACAAAAAGCTTGCTTTATGTTTTAATATTAACAGCAGTAGTCACAAACATGTCAGACCAAATTATCTACATAAGATAAATGATTAGTTGTGAATGTAAACTGAATGGCAGATAAACTGAGTCTACAAGTAAAGACAAGGAAATAATGAACAATAATCTATCAAACTAAGGAAGGACATAAGAACAACGATTCTCGTTTGTATTTTATTTTAAGAATTGAGACCATTACACTCTGGGTGTAGACATTCTGTATTTCTCAGTTTTTGTCATAAACTGTAAAAACTGATGATTCCAGAAATGTGATTTCTTGTCAACAAATTGTATTCATTCCCTTATAATGATGATGAAACTGTGCTGTAGATGAAAACTACTGGGCTACATGAAACGATAGAGTAAACTGATGGTTCATTTTATCAGGTTGAAAGATCTGGCTAGGGGTTTTCAGCTAGAATGAAGCGAAAGATTGTGGCTGAACAATCTGGTGCTTTTTTATCTATAACTTTAAGTATGAGGATGGAGGTGGAGGCAGTCACTGCAGTTCTGAACTGGATAGTTGAGAATAGTTATCAGAGAAATTATAGTGTCTGATTCTCAGTCAGTACTGCAGAAGGTTCTAAATGGAATTAATGTGGTATGAGTGAATACCACGTATCAGCATATCAACATTACAAATGATATACTGTCCAGGATAAGCACGAGTGAGAGGGAATGAAAGAGCAGATTTGTTTGGTTACTAAAGTGATGGCTATAGGAACATTTACGGTTTATATAGGAGACATTCTAAAGATCACTTAAATATGAAACCAAATAGGTTTTTTTTTTAATTGGCAGATCTAGAAACATGACTACATTTTATCTTTTCACAAAGCTAGATTAGTACCTTTACATGAAATGTTCCTTAAAATATAATGTCAGTAAAATTTTAGATTTTGTTTACATTTTTTTAATTCTTTAAAAACATTATGCATAAAACAGGTCTCTCGTAATATGCATATCGTTATATGAACATAACATGCTTTATAAATAAAATACAACTGCTGTGGGAAAGATGGGTGTTTGAAAGGGCCAAATGAAAGAGTGGCCTGTGGCCCCAATTTGTGACCCTTTGAAAATACAGTTTGTTCATTTGTTCATTGACATCCTTACTTTTGTCATTGAGGGTGACATTTTGATCATTAGGGACTAGATGCAGTTGAAAGTGATTCACAGGTCTCAAAGTACGACTGGTTAAGAAAATGTGTTAATGTGTCTGTGTCGACCTTTAACATATCAAATATCTAATTCTATAAAGCTTAACTAAAATGTAGAATACCCTAATACCTAGTGCTGTAATGGCTTTGCTTTATTTTTGACTAATTTCTAGGACGATGTGATTTATTTTAACCCACCTTTGTTGCCACCAATTCTTGATGAGCTGGAAGAGTCCAGATTTAGCAGCTTCTCTGGCCTTCCATCCAGCTTCGGGGGTGACAGCTACCAGGTTTGTTAGTTGCACACTCTTTGGCAGTTGTATTTTCTGTTGCTTTTTTTGTTACCTCTACAGAATGGGATGCAGTATCGATAGTTAAATAAGCATTTTTGTTTGGCTTTCAGCGTTAGATTGTCTGTAAGATATGCACTGTAGTTTACTTGACATTGTATCTTTATATACATTTTTTCCATTCACAAGTCATATTTCATTTGCATTTTTTTAGTACATGTGTTGCATTTCTCACTGTAATTTAAAATCTGCGTCTGCACATTAGCAAAAATATGTGTGAACTCAGATATATTTCCTCTCTGAAAGGGTAGCAAATGCAAGAAAGAAGTTGAATGTATCAGCTGAAAGGAGCCAGTATCACTGTAGCTACACCCAGTATGGGTGCTTTGATAGTATAATAGATAAGTGCTCATCTGCTGATCCAAAGGTCTAAGACTTCAGATTTGCATTGAGGCAAATTTTCTTTCAAAACTGACCTTGGCGGCCATGTTGAGCCAGCCTAAAATAGGTGCCAGGTAATGTCCTAGGCAGAAAAGGCAGTTGGCATCATGTTGACCACATCACCCATTGATCTAGCACTTTTTACCTGAATCTACCAAAGACATCAAAAAGGTCTTTTACTTCACTACTTTACTAAGTCCAATATTTTTTAAAATATTGAACAGAAGAACTCCATGGTTTCTGTTGCTTTGTTTCTGTTGTGTATGTAGCTTTTTCTTTTTTGTCTTTTGTTTGATGTTACTAATCTTTTTAGATTGTAATTTCCATCTGTTAATTAGATTTAACACATTTTTGTGTGTAACCCTATTATCCCAAGTAACCCTATTGTCCCAAGTAACCCTATTGTCCCAAGTAACCCTATTGTCCCAAGTAACCCTATTGTCCCAAGTAACCCTGTTGTCCCAAGTAACCCTATTATCCCAAGTAACCCTGTTGTCCCAAGTAACCCTATTATCCCAAGTAACCCTGTTGTCCCAAGTAACCCTGTTGTCCCAAGTAACCCTATTGTCCCAAGTAAACCTGTTGTCCTGAGGAAGCAAATTTTCCAGCTTTTGCAGGTTTTGATTTACATAATGTCTTTGGACAGTGCCCACTTCACTTGTATGACAGCTTTGCCACTGATTGTAACTGCATAGTGTATAGACAAGGTGGGCATCATTATGTTTACACATACCAACACAAATTTAAGATATTTTCTTAGGGAAAAAAATTAATTATTTTCATTGTGATGTCATAATAAATTTACGATGACATCACTTTGCTCTCTGTGGCTGTTCTCTTGGTCAAAGGGAAGGAACACAGTTATTTCTTTGCCATGTTTGTATTTAGCAATTTTTTACCTTCATATTAAAAAAAAAAACATTTTCAATCACTTATGCCCAAAAAGTTTTTTATTCTTTCAAGTGCCCGGCTTGCTAGCTCAGTTGGTTAAAACCCTCTGCGCGGTGACCGGGTGACGAACTCCTTGTGGTCCTGGTTCATGCCCGGGGTAGGCAGAAAAGCCACATTTTCTCCCAGATTTACAGTATCTATCATGGAATCAAGGATAAAGGGCTTACGACTAATGATATTTGGATACTTTTTAAAAAAAAATTCTTTCAAGTGTTTTTTTTTTTTTTCAACTTCATCTGAGCCCCCCCCCCCCCCCCCCACACACACACATGCGCACACGCGCGCACACACACACACACACACACATTTGCTGCATTTTCTTGCTTGCATGCTTAAACAATGTTTGGTAATCTGACAATTTCCCCATGTGGGTTCCGAGCCACATTGTGGGGGAAAAAGAATAGACCCCACAAAATGCCGTGGGAGTCAACTAATTGAGAATTTCCTTTCAAGTCGGAATGCTTTTGCCCGAGCAGCAAGGAACAATGATCTATATTATGTATGTATACCTCCAAGGTCAGTCAGATCACGTGGTGGAAAGGGAAACAAATGCTTCCTGTGGCAGAGCCTCTTGATAACATTGCTGAAATTTGCTTTTAACTCTTTGAGTCCCAGGGGGTTTAGCATCCCAGGCCCAGGGGATAGTGAAGAGAGTCATAAAATCGGCGCATCATGCGTTCATTAGGCTTCTAGGTAGGAACCTGTGAACGTATGATGCGTTCCTTGGGACTCAAAGAGTAAAAAGTGCAAGTCATGACTATAATAAACAGATATCAGCCACTTTTCAGAAGGAACAAGCAATGTGTATGTTTGTAGCCTTTACCATTATAGCCATGTCTCCACGAAGATGCTTGACCAGTATTGACAGATGAGAAGCAATAGCATGACTGCGGGATGATGTAGAGGCTGCTAGGAGATTAGGAGTTTCCCATTCTGTCATACAAACGCTGCATGATCATTATTATGCAGCTGTAAGTGCCAAAGAACAACGCAGGTCAGGACATTTAAAGTCTAGAACAGTTGACAATTGAAAAATTAAAATTGGTCTTTTATGTTGTTTTGATGGTATTGTAGTGTTAATGGCTGTATCTGACTTAATTTTTTTTTCCTCCTAATTTGTCTGCTATGACATTTGTTGGCGTTTTTTTTTTTAAAACTGTCAAAGATAACCAAACATTGTCTTTTCATGTATGTGATTTCTGAAGAATTTCTTTTAAGATTACTGTTGTTTATCTCTATTCATTTCTGTATTGTCCAACAGATGGATTTGTTACCAGAATGTTTGCTTTTCTTTCTGCTAATTTTATAATAATTTAGTAATAGATGTTTCTCAGTGGCTTCTGCAGAATCTAATCTGATTTATTTACATTTTGACTGAGGTTAGAGTTTCCACTATGAAATGTTTCTCTTAAATGGTAATCATAATATTGTCTTAGACCATACATACTCACAAATGGCAAAGGTAATTAAGGCTGTCGAGGGTCCCGAAGTGGATAGATGCTTTTGTGATGAGTAGGAATTTTCCTCTCAACACTTCACCTCCACCAGAGAAACTGTACTATTATCTGAGATATGTTGATCTCAGACAAAGTCCTGGATATCCAAGAAAACAGCCATATTTGGCACGTCATGTAAATACACAACAGCTGCACTCGGTACCCACAGGAGTAGGTAATCTGGTAATCTGGTAATCCTAGTTTCAGCATCATAGCAAACGGGTCACCTCATTGTTGCTCCGCTCCTGTGCCAACGAAAAACACTCGTAGCTCACAGTGTCACACCATGCACTCAACTCAGAAGCTGGGTGACGAAACTATATCCTTCCAGTCTACAAATGGAGCAAAAATGCAAAGGCCACCGCCTGGCAGAACTGCCACGGCTTAAAAAAAAAAAAAAAAGTGGTCGTGCCTAGTGTCCACTGTGACTTGAAGCATTATGTGAGGGGTTAACAAATGGTCACCCCAGCAGTACCCTCACTATTAGCTGGGAAAGGGACTTAGGACATTACATCCACCAGCAGGCGTCGCCCCTACAACGACCTGACTGCCTTCGTTAACGACTGTTCACCCAACAGCCATGCAGTTCTTTGGCACGAAGGAGACACCTTGAACTTGGGTTTCGGAATGCCGACTTCCTACAAAATGTTATTTTGTGTTTTGTTATCACAATCGACGTCACTGCACATTGGGCATACCCATGCGTGCGCAGTCCTCCGAAGCAGCAGCCACTCCAAAGTACTTCTACTAATTGTCCCCATGAGAAGCTGGTTATATTGTCTCCTTTCTCGGCCTCGCAGACGGCAAAAACGTGCTTCACCATGCTTAACTCCCATGTCACGCAATCGTGTTAGTGTCAGGGATTCGATATTATCCACTAGCCCAGTACGTACAGCGTTAACGATATCTGCTCTGTCCATGCTTTTTCCCGCAATCATTAGTGCTGTGCTTGCCAGTTGGTCCGCTCGCTCATTTCCCTTTACGCCCGCATGACCCGGTGTGTAGATCCAGGTTACGGAAGTTAAGTGCGATTTCTGAATGCTTTCTATCCATTCAGAGCGCATACTGCCTGTTGCTATTTTCTGAAGCATATTCATTCAGTCTGAGACAATTACTGCTTGTGTGGCGGTTTGCTCGGATACCCATGCTAAAGCTCTAGAAGCAGCGGCTATTTCCATGGTCATGCTTGACGTGGTTGTCTGGTAAGCGCCGCTGTCCTCATGTATTGTTTTCCCCCTTCTTTGCGCTGTGTATGCCCATGCTGACCTTGATCCGCGCTTCACGGACCCATCTGTGTAGATGATGATATCTTCTGGGTCTGAATGCTGATCTATCAGTTCCCTTACTTCTGTGTCTATGGCTGCAGGAATCTGATCCCGACAGTACCTTCCTAGTGTGATGACAACCTTAGAGATGCCATGCATGTCTACTGGTGTATTCATCCATTCTTTTCCGTGCCTGATAACGCGTAGGTCACATACCTGCTGGATCAAATTCTCAGCCTTTGCCATCCAAGAGCAGCCTCTTTTGAGACGTGTTCCTTTTGTGTCGTATATAGCTTTGTGCAATGGGTGGTTAGCGTCTGCCGATACCCTCATGTAAGCCTTGACTTGTGCCACTTTGTATCTGCTAGTCATCGTCCGCAAACCCAGGACATAACGCATGGCGTTGCAGGAGGTGTCTTTTGTGCAGCCGAGTATGAGTCTCATGGCCTCATTTTGTACTAGGTCCAGTCTTTCTAGCTGGGTTTTGCTGACAGTGAGGAGGCCAAGACCATAGTCAATGACGCTAAGCACAAGCCCTTGATATAGAAGGAAAAGTAGGCGTTGTTCAATATCAGCTGCTGCTAGCACCTTGAGTGCTGTCAGACATTTTCTGGCTCTAAGTATGACGTTGTCTACGTGGCATTTGTATGACAAGCATCTGTCAAATGTCATACCCAGGTATTTCATGGTGTCCGTTCTCTCGATGTCCACACCACAGATGCTTACGACTGGCGTTGGTGTATTGACGATGTGAGTATTTAGAGAGAACCATGTTAAGGAGGCTTTGGACGGGTTCACTTGAGCTCTTGATTCCTGGCACCACTCACTAAGTCTGTCCAGTTCGTGT